CATTATGATTATGACAGTACTGATTCACACCAAAATGTTGTCTGGGTATTTTAAAAGCAAAACAGCTTCCCATCTACAATTATATTAGACTCTCCAAAATATCGCAATAAATATTATACCATGAGATGCATGTCGTGATAATATCATACTGGGAGGTATGAATATCGTTACATCCCCAGTAAAGGTGCACGGGAACACAGAGGAGTACTTCCTGTATTACCACATGATATCACCAGTTGGAGTATTTTCAGTTTGAGAGAAAAAACCTGTGTAAATATTCTTTGTTTGTGCAATAAACATGTGGGAATGAAACACATCTCTGAGTATGTTTTGAATACAGACATACTGCATAGATCAGAAAATAGCATAATATAGGACCTTTAAAACAGCTGTATAACCATGAAAATGCTTAATTCCATCTGATCATGGAAGTTAAGTAGAGTTGGGCTTGGTTAGTACTTGGATGTTGTTCTAGACAAGTGCGTTCAGCCGTCCTTGTGTAAAATACTTCCTTAAGGACTTATCTTTATAGCGTTACATGTAATCCCAGATAAATATTGTGGCTTGTGTCAGAAAGAGCTCAACCCAATAAAGATGCATTAATAATGAGACTATTTGACCTTATTTAGCAAAACTTTTTACTCTTTGTGACCTTAATGCTGGAGGATGTTTTAAAGGGCATTAGCCACATAAATTCACAAATGACAACGTGACTGGGCTCACAGTAATAAAGGAAATGAGTGGGTCCTCTAACTGTAGCTGCTAGTTAGAGAATGTAATTAGGCTGTGCTAGCTAAAGGCTACATACTACAATGATTGCATAGACCCATAAAAGATTAAGGCAAAAACTCACAAAGTCTAAGAGCAAGACCTGCAATGCAATAAAACAAGAGAGTTTTTCTTTGGTATAAAAGCCTTTTAAAGATGCACAATCTTCTTACAAGGTTTTCTTATCTGGTGGCACAGCAAATCATTTGTCTTGTAACAAAGGGATTTATTTATGCCAGATGGTTTTCAAGCCCTACTCACCAGGGCTTCAAGTCACACAAACAGGATCAGTTTGTTTTTGGATTAAAGAGCTCTCTATTGAATCAGGTAAAAAATATCATATTTCTTTGAAAAATTTTGAGTGAATCAGGTATAAAATATAATATTTCTTTGAGACATTTTGATCGAGAAAAAGCCTTTATAGGCTTTGTTCTGTCTTAAACTGATCATTTGTAGGTGTTCTCTTGGTACTTTTCAAAGCACTCAAGCCTATTCAAGTGGCCTCTCTCCATATGAGAATCAAAGGACATTCACAAACAAATGCCTATGGTGGTTTGAAATTTAGGCTATAGGTTAGTTTCATTACCATAAGGAAGTGATGAGAGGTCAGTGCAAAGCTTTTAACCATATCAGGGCAAAGTAAATAATAAATAATTAATACAATAATAAATAATAATAATAATTAATAAAATAATAAAATAAATAATCCTTTTACATAACAATAACTTTGTGTTCTTGTTTTCAAAATCATTTTACAACTTTGTATTTACTACAAAGAGTTGAGAAGGTCAATGGCATAACAGCTTTGGATGCACTGAATTACTGAGGCCAGTAAACTCATCAATGAAAAGGTCTCACTGGTGCACCAGTACAGCTGAAGATGAAGTCTATAGATTGGATTATGAAAATAGGATTTCTCTAACATTTCCAAAGTGAAACTGATTACATTTTGCATGCAAATGCTGGCAGGGAATCTACTTGCCCTACTATGAGCTTGACAGATTCACACCATGTAAGTTTTCACTTTCCAGGAGGGTACAAGGAGAAGCACAGGTAAAATTATGGATAATAAAATGTCTACATAAAGAGCATATTTCTGAGAGATTTAGGACATGACACGCATAGCTTACAAAAAGGGTTTTTGGTGTGTATAAGGTAAATAAATGGCACTGATGGATGTGTTACGACAGTGATGTCTTTGAATGTGTCAACCCTACATACCATAAAACATGGCAGAACTATTTTTATATCTTGGTAGACACGTTCAGCAGCCTTTGTATAATCTTGACCCATATCCACCAAGCTTCAGTCAGGAATAGCAATCAGTCTCCACATAACAGGGGAGAAACTTAAATCTTTAGGTTTCAAGTCTCAGGACAGATATTTGAAGAGTTGAGCATGTTTTTACGACTAAAATTTGAAGGCCTGAGAGATCAATATAGGATGGGTTTGTGTGGAGAATTCATTCTCTGACTGGCCCAGTTGTGGTCAAAAATAGTTTGTGCTTTTTGTGACTCGAATTCAATCCACAAAGATAAACAGAAAAAGAGGACTTGATTGAACTATTTCGTGTTAGTGGACAAACTGAGCAGCTGCTGTTCTGCTCTAATTATTGCAGACTGGAGAGAGTGTCCATTTACAACACCATTTATCAGGTACTATAAGACAACTTCCAATTAAGTGTTTTTTCTTCATTTATATTTGCACCTTACATAAATGCAAAGTACTTTAGATACCACACTTCTGTTATTATTACTGTTTTAAGAAAACAAATATATCTTTCCTTTTTGCATTTTCTTTTTTGTATTAGACTGGTGACACTTTTGATGATGGCTCACAGCTGGGAGTCGAAACATTAAAATAAACACATCTTGCCAACAAAATTGTCTGCCTGAAAGAAATCAAGATATACTGTATTAAAACAAGAAGGATGTTACTCAAGATTTAAGAAAACACTTGTTCAAAGGTGCTTTAACTCTTCCCTATACATTTAGAGGCTATAGCAAAAACAGAGAAACTATTACATTAAATAGAGTGAGAAAATAAGTAAATAATAATAATAATTAAAGCTGCAAGCAGCGATAAATGCTCTTGACCCCCTTACAAACATGGGGTACAATACAATCTGTTGTGGGGTAGCAAAACTGGGGTTAATATTCACGGTGTCAAATTTTGGGAAGTTTGTGGGAGAAAAATTACTGAAACATTTTTCCCATTTATCCACTCAAATGACTCAAATGGGACTTTCACCGGTCCTGATCATCCTGCATAGCAAAAAACAATTGTGCCTGTATAAAAAAGTTGTTCCCATAGCTCAATTTAAAGCAGCACAATGCTTGCAACATTTTGGTTTGAAGTTTGGACAATTTGCTCTCACCACTATAATTTTCTGTCACCCCACTGAATCAAATGTAGCATTGTAAAGGCCAAACATATTGCAATGGTGTATAAAAAGTAATTTCAAAGAAACTATGATTCATAATATCTTTCTATGTAGCACAGTAAAGTGCAACCCATTGAGCTGTGTCCCTGTTCATTTTTCTCTGACCTCCACAGTCACATCCTCTTCCTCTCTCGACTAGGCCCTCTGCCCACTTTCTGCAGCCTGGAATTAGAGGGGAAATTGCATTTTAAAGGTCCCACCATTTGTTAACTAAAATGTAAGTATGATAATAATGCTAAAGAACTGCGAAACTGCTGTGAATGTGTTGATTAAATTGCAATGCAACCCAAGCTGCTTCATTAAATTGATTAAATTGCAATGCAATCCAAGCTGCAAAACGTTTTCAACCTAAATAAATGTTTGTCCAGTTGACATGCTGAATTTCACCTTTGCCATGATTTCTACCTACACAGAATGCAATCCAATGCACATGAGGGGACAGGATGAAACTGCACAGGAGTTGTTACACCTGCAGCAAAGCAAAGTAGTCAAAGCATGTAGGTAGTGATAGTAGCACTTATGTTTTTCAAAGTTTATAACTCAGCCCTTATAACACCTGCTTTTTTATGCCAGATGGATGGTCACTTTGGGTAAGCTTTTTTTCTTTTTTCAATCTTGTTCAACTTCAGCCTGAAGCTTATAGCTTCAGATCAGCTATAAACCAATGAGAGAAAGTGTAATTTTCTTGAGTAGAAATCTACTGATGAAGCAAATCAAAAGTTCAGACAGGAAGGCCGCTTCCTCCTGCCTCACCCACACAAGATATCTGCCCTGCTTGGCCAATGATAAGCACAGCCTTGCCTATTATTGCTCAGCAGCCTACTTTATGTCAACTCAGCAGTTTGCTTACCAGTCAGATGTTTAATCAATCAAAGAACTTTATTTATCCCCAAGGGGCTATTTCAGCACATAGGGCATTTAAAATAAATGTAAAACTCCAAAAACGTGCAGGAGCAGGACTGGTTGGTCAGCAGAGTGTGTGTTTGGGCAGTGAGGTGAGTAACAGCCCTGAGGATAAAAGTGTCCCTCCTTTGTGTCCTGCAGGCTGAGCATCACAGTCAGCCTCAAGAGGGAAGGAGGAGAACTCTGGAGACACAACAGGACAGCCCTCTTCTAAGTCTCACTCTTACTTTTCTCCCTGCTTGGGGTTGAGATGAGACAGGTCATTCCCTTGAAGTAGTTTCACAGAAAGGCTTTTGTGCGTGTTCAGCTGCATTTGGTGAAGAAAGTCTCAGTTGTACTTTGGCTAGCTCTAATCATTGCGTCCATGGATATGCAACCATACAAACTGTACTTCTTAATTGGTTAAACATAGACTTAAAACAGTAAAGTTGAGTAATGATTTTTTTTATACTGCACTGTAATTGTTTTCATATATCGTTGGTTGAATGGGGATGAAGGGCCTTTCAATTTAAGCTTGCGCACATGTCCTTTAAATGTGCACGTTCTTTGTTAATGTACAAGGTACCATTCAACACTGTAATAGACATGGATGGAAATGTTACTATTTGTGGAAAGTATGCAAAACTAGCTCATGTATTTATTTTCAACACAGCGTTGGTTCCTTTGCTGCTCGAATGCGTCTGTACTGGAAAGATGGTTGTCTGTCATTAATATTCCCTTAACACTTGTGTCTGACAGCGACTTAAAGAAACAGCGCAGCGTGCACGCTCCACTTTGCCAGTCTCTCTGCCCTGACGGCTCGTATTTTCAATGTCCTATAAAATGATTGGATCCATGGCAACCAAACATTAAAAGCTTCAAAACAGAAAGCGACGCATTGCATCAATTGTTCCTGACTTTAAAGCTTTTGTTTTGGAGTTTTTATTCGATTTAAAATAGAGCATTTCTGTCAGTGCAAGGAAGTAAACAAAATATATATAAATATGATATCAACATTCTTCATTTCATTCTTAAATATAATGTTAAAATACACAAAAAACACAAACACAACAAGTAGACACTAGGCCCACATTAAGATCTTTGACAGGAAAAGTGAATGACAGATAATTTTACCACTTAAACACTTAAGTCACTTTGTCTATGGGATACATTGTACAAAATATGCAATATTTTACTTAATAAGTCACATGACTTTTTCCTGGTAGACACTTTGTGGTGATTTGAATATTCAGAAGCTGTAATATTCAGAAGCTGTATATATATTAAATATTTGGAGAGGATATACAGTGTCTGGCTGGAGAAGTTTATAGACACAAACAATATACTTGTGTGCCTTGACGGACTGAAGTCAAAATTGGCAAACATGAGGATTTTAGTTGAATTGCTAAGACCATGATTGTATTGCCTGGAAGACTGGGTCAGAAAATATACAAATCTGCACCCCTAACTCAACATCTATAAAAATGATTCAATTCAATAACAGAGGTAAACTGATGAAAGGTGATGCACGTGGGGAGAGCCAACTAGATTGTCTTTTCTGGCCCAATATTATAAGTGTGTTTAAGAAGTTAATTCTAGGTTCAGAAATATGTCTGGATACACAGGACTTTATTCTCTGTTGCATTTGAAAGGTGGTCAGAATGTAGTGCCTGAACTGTGTATTTTTAGTGCACCATAAAAATGTGCATATTAGAGAGGCATGTCACAGCACCTAAAACTTTCAAAACATGATGCAAGTTGATACTTAAGAGTTGAAATCACACTTTTTCTGTATAATTACTTTCAATCTCTTGATCCTTGCGCAATTTTCTTATTCACCCACTCAAAGTGAAGTGTTCATAAATGCAGAAAAACAACACAGTCATTTCAATATTAATAACCCACTTTCATTCCTTCCTTAAAATCACGATAAAGTTGCATTGTTCGTTTCCTCCACGTTGATGCTGAGCACTCCATGGACCTGTGTGAGCTGCCTGCAGTCCAGTGAAGCCAGTAATTTCCTCAGTCCAGACAGAGTGGGCACGAAGTTTACATTCACAGACACAGAAGCACGGCTGGCTATATCACTGTGAAAACAGAGCATGAAATGACTAGAGGGATCACAGGAAGAAATACATGACATAATATCTAGAGCGTATAAATGGGGAGAGACATTCAGAGACATACTGCGCTGTGACCTAACACCTATGCCAACACCCTGCCACTCAATCTGATCTTACACAATAAAAACACCATAATTCTGGTTTCAATTCTTATTTAATCCAAAAATAATGGTTAATAGTTGTAAGTCATGGTTGAGTCATGGTTCATCCAAATACAGCCTTGTTTACTCTTGCTTTAGTTGTAGTTCTAGTCCTGTTATAGACTTGGACAAATCTATGTTTTCAGTGTAGTCTCTTTGAGTTTAGTCTTGAATTAGTCCTGACATTCCATATTCTTAAATTATTAAACAAATTATACATGGGATTCATAATATTTTAAGATACAGTACATGATGCCATAGACAATCCCTGCACTGACATCACTTCACTTACCCATAGTGTATAGTTTGAGCTGCCATAAGTCCCAACCCCTCCACATGAAACAGGACCCCCTTCAGTATCTGTGGGAGTGGGTTTGTAAACAAAATCTCCACTGTCATCTTCTTCCCGACCACTGCTTTACCGATCGGCTATATGAACAAGAGAGACAGAAAAACAACTCAAGTAATGTAATCATATTTAATCACAGTGTTAGTATTCAGCTCAGAGTCTGTTGTCTTTACCTTTAGCGTCAGGTCTGGACTGCGGAGGCGGAAACTGTACTGCGTGGCTAAGACTTGCTGCGTCTGTTTGACCCTGCCTGACAGAGTGAGCATGAGGGCAGCCTGGTCCACCAGCTCCTCCTTGTAGTCCTTGTACTCCAGACTCCACTCCAACATCTTCACTGTGGCCAAGACATAAGAAAGGCTTTCAGTGTGGTCATCAGTGAGTCTCAGCAAGTAAATGTATTCTTTGTGCCACTTCCATATTCAGATAAAATATAAGTTTACGCAAGGAAGGGCATCTGGAGTAAATATTGTAGTGGTGACCAGGAAAAGCTAAATTAATAGCCAGCAGAGTAAGAAAATTGCAATTGCAAGTGTAATCCCTCATTTGTACAGGACTGGTCCCTGGTAGAAAAGGTTTCATCTAGACTCTTTTGGAATTAAATGGCCGAAACATATTTTAATTTCAAATACAGTGTACTGATGACTATATCTTTGAAACCTTTTCTAGTGAATGTGACAAACTGTGAAAACAGTGAAAATCTTTAATGAATTTAATTTAAATTTAATGAATTTAATTTAAAGTCTGGCTTGTAGTTGCTCTGCTACAATCCAGCCAACTGCTGGCATTCACACATTAGTCAATTAATTAATGTTGACCAAAGTAGATAAAATTGTAAAAGTACGAAACAACTTCTTCTCCAAAGAAGCAGAGTGTCTAGCTTATCTTTTCTACTGCCAAAAGCAGAAAATAGCCCTGTTCCAACTGGAGCGTTACTGGGCGGGTCAGTGCTGATAAATTTTCATTGCCAAAAGGGTTTCAACCGACCTAAAAAGGCATATGGTACAACGCTACAAATAAAAATAAAAATGAAAGTAAAGGGCAAAAAGATCACGTTACCAAGAGATGAGTAAATGCCAGCCCAAGGATCCAACCTTAGATGGCTGAGAGACTGAAGTACTAACCACCCTGATCTGTGCACCTCAACAAACTTCATGTGTTTTTGGATGAGAACTCAATAAATAAATAAATAAATATAATAAAACATAATTTTTCAGAGATGAAACATATCAAGGTATGACAACAAACAAACACTGGTTTGAATGAAGAATCAAAGTATTTAAAGTTAGAAGAAATTTTAGATTAAATATGTTAATCTAAAACAAACTGTAAGATTAAAATAAAAATATGTATACTTATGAGTAACACAGAGCATTATCCTCACCTTCATTAGGCAGGAGGTCTATGTTTGTGGCGTCCCTCTTTACAGTGGCTTTGTGAACTCCAGTGTAGTACATGACTGCAGTTTGACTGTGGAGTGATACTGTCCTGTTTTCAGAGCTGCTGTTTTTCAGACTAACAGTCAAATCTACATCCTTCCCCATCTGTGGACCTGTCCCCTCCATGGACACCTCCAGAGACACATCCTCTGCTGTGGGAGTGGGGCAGGATTCAGCTTTGGACCCATATTTACATGCAGTCTCTACAGCAATACGCTCCTCCTCCGTGCCTGGAAGAACAATATAAAACTCATCATTTAAAACTGTCATGTGAAATTGTTTTGATCCTTAATGTGACTCATATTATTTAATTCATATTTCTTCTCTATTTCCAGAGAAGAAGTTAGGGGAAAGCCCTTAAGAGGGAAAAGCCCTTAATACCTCTTAAAAGAATATTAACTCGTAAAGCTTAGATTGAGTAGACCAATAATCCATGATATCCATTCACCAAAGGCAACCATTATTTCAATTGAACCAGTTCCCACAAAAATTAAGAATCTTTTATCAACAAAGTGCTTAAGTTTCTTTGAATGTTGAGAGTGTTAACGAGAGTAACATGGACCAATCCACAGTAGTTTTGTCAGCCAAACCTTACGAAATTTAACTCACAACCTCCTTACAGAAAAATAAACTATCCCATGTGTCTAGTGTGCAGGATTTGACCCTAGACAAGTTTATGCAGAATATGACTCTCGTTTATCCAGGCCTAGTACCAACGCAATGATACACTTGTTACTGGAATACATACAAAATGCAATTTCAGACTTCAATAAATGAAAGTAGGCATATTGAAATAAACAGATGTGGGCAGGACATTCTCAATTATAGACTAATCTTGCTCGAGTTTTATTTTAAATACCTTCCGGATGTTTGTAGAGGTGTGTGATATCGTTGCGTTCATCCGATCCAACTGCTTTGGTGCTGATAGAGTGTCCCACTGTCTTCTTCTCACTGTATATTTGGGAAAATGTCCCATCCACGTTCCTCTGCCAGTAGATCTTGTCACTGTTCACCTGAAGGAGCAACAAGTTTACATAAAAAATAACTCCCAAACAGAGAGGACACATCCTGCATAATTTTGAAGCGAACCATATGGCAATAATTATTAATATGCAAGGCGCGCACGATCTACAAACACCAAACAACAGCGAGATCAGATGGTCACACTGTAGGTCAAGATTATGTGGAGATCTGTATGTTTCATGCTTATAAAGGTCAAAGAGAAAATATCTTATCAGTATGTATTGATGATTTTTGAACCATGCATATTCAGAGGCCTGTAGCCTGTGCCCAGTGCTGTGAGATTTCTGGCTGTGACCATCTAACTGTCTCTGTCCACTCTTCTCTTCACCTCGTTTTCAACATGGCTTTCTGTAGTAAAGTATACATGTCAAAAAGATCTTTGTAAATATATTAAATTAAATATATATTGCAACCTGTTATGATATGTATATAAGGACGCAGAATTGCCTGTAACTGACAATGGAGACAATGGATTGCTGTGGGTCCAACTCATTTAGATGTAACTTTAATGTCAATGCCAGTTACACAGGGTCTACAGGGTGTATGATTGTGGCTATTGATTGAGACCATTTTAAGTCCATATTCATCCTTATTTTCAGACAAAATTATTGATACATTGCACAATGACCCAGCATTGTTTATAGTTTGCATTTTGTATTTCATTTTAATACACCAATTTGTTTTAAAGGTGTTATTAATTAAATTATTGTTCAAATGAACAGTTTGAAAGAGTTTGGAGATTAGACTGAGTCATTTACTGTTTATAAGAATGCAGAAACTATGTACCACAAAACATAAGTCTTTCTTTCTTCTCTGCACTTGGGGCAATTAGGATCACCAATTCTTCTACCACATGCTGGAAGCTGCAGCAAGCCCTTATTAATAAAGGGATGACATGCATACTCAAACTACCTGCTGAGAGGCAGAAGTGCTAACTGCTCTACCCCTGTGCACCACAGAGCACATGTTATTGAGCTATAAATTAGCCGAATCGTGTTATTGTGAGTGTTCCTGGATGGACCTCAGCAAACACGAAGGCAGCATCGTGCTTGAGGTAAACTTGGCCATTGCGGACAGCAGTCAGAGAGGCTGGTCCACAGCGGAAAATGCCCTGGCTGGTCTCTTGGGGCGTGGCGTCCACAGCCTGCCAGCCTCCCATGCCCGCGGGCAGGTCGGGGCGCGCCATCCAGCAGTCGTTCCACACATGGAAGTTCCTGCAGGGACAGAGTTGGTGATGAAGCCCAGAAAATAAAGTGTAAGTGGTGAATGGCAAAAACTCACCAAACTGAGTCTCTATTAAGATCATCAAGAGGGGCCAGGTTCTCATCTAAATACACATCTGTTGTCAAGGAGACATCTGTGTCATGAGCGGAGCTAAAGTTGGTCACAGTGCGAGTGGGAATGCCCAGACACCTCAAGACTGATAAAAGAATAGCGTAAGGGATTCATTTGGTTGTGATTAATTTAATTGACATAGATTTACATTTGCCTTTAGTTTGAAAAAAAGCTGATTATTATTTTTTACCTGTTGTGACCACTCCAGCAAAGACCCAGCACTGTCCGTAGCTCACAGGGGTACCATTGTTTTGTGATACTGCTGGAGGATTTCTACACTCCCGGTCCACACTGTCGGAGAGGTGCCGCCTGCATAGTTCCCTGACCAGTTTCCTTGGATTACACCAAAGTCATCCACTGAGTTCACCTAGAGTCATATAACTGTTTACTCCTCAAATAAAGTAATGTAGGATGTAGGACTACCAATAAATGTTAAGTTATTTTGTTCAACTCAAAAAAAAGTCTAAAAATGTTACAAGCAAAGTTAAATCAGGTGTTTAACATAGTGTTTTGTGTTATATTTTATTATGAATTAATAATTTATTATTAATTAATCACCATGGCTGAAACAATCCTGACAACATTCACTGGGTCTCCCCACCCTGATGCAGGAGTTCCGCTCTTCTCCAGGATGTAGAGACATGCAGCCAAAATACCACCTGCAAACTAATAAGAAGGCAAAGACACAGACCCACTTAAGGATTTATGTTTCATTTACTCCAGTATGCTCTATGTATGTATACGTTTGAGAACACAATATATAGCCAAAAATGTGATTTGCTACATGAGGCCGAAAAGCACTTTTGGATCTTATCTATTTATCTATCTCTACCTCAATGGCTATGAATTCCAATATATTTAGATGCAGTAGCTGATTGAAAAACAACTAAAACTAATGCTTGACCTTGTTAGTTTCTTGCTTCGTGTTAAGACTAAAACTGAACCAGTCAGTATACTAGGCCTACATTTGGTTAAATATGTTTTATGTTAATTTTACACCAAAGCAAATATATAATTTTGTCAAATATCTTGCCTCCCTTGTTTGTGTCACCACTCACCTGTCCATAGTCCCAGGTCCGGTATCCAATCTGCAGCTCGGTGCCGTAGTAAATGAGCCCAACATCGTTCAACACATACTCCTGCTTCTCTTCTTCTGAGTCCATAAAAACTGTGTCCTCTGACAGAAAGACATGCAGAACATCATTAAAACTGCCAATAACATGTACTGGGGCTGAGCAGGCTGCATTTAAACCAGGCCAATTGACATTCTGCAGAGAGCATTTAAAAAGTGACCTTTTGCACACAGAGAGGAGATATTACTGTGTTTTTGTCGTGTCTACAAGATTCAGAAGACCTCATCAAGATACAGCGCTGAAGAAAATAAGACCCCGCTGTAAAATGGTTGTTTTTATCTTTTATATGAGCAATATAGTGAATTGAACATTTTCTCTTATTTTAGCGACCCATCTGAAGGCATTCTGCATGGAGTTTGCCGAAGCTGTTTCCCCCTTCAAGTCCAGAGACTGGACACTGCTGCACTCTGGTCACGCCCTGTCTGTTTCTGTCAGATTTCCTCAGTGGCATTATAGATTGGGATTATAGGTGATGTAGAAGTAAACTTTTTCCAGATAATTATCATTATAATATAAATATTAAAAACATGTTATTGACTAAAGAATATTCAGTAATCACTAGTAATTAACTATTATCTTTTTGTGTGTGTTGCAACTTTAATATTCTTTAATATATGCAGAGTTGACCCCGAAGCAAACTTGAATGGATTCACCCAACTGCTTTACTTTGAAATAACTCTCTCATTGGGATTAAAATGTTTGATAGAGAGAAAAATGTTATTTATTCCTTACCCTGACTAATGTTGTCCCCACTCACCTTCACACCAGGGGTTAAAGAGTATGCAGACATTGTCTTCCTTGTACTCGGCCTGGCCATTGGGACACACTGTGTGCACTGTGAGTTGGTATCGTCCGATATTTGCCGTCGGTAGAGAATTCACTGAGAGTAACAGCCTTTTGTCTTCCTGTTTGACTACAGCAGCCTCCCAGCGATCATCCTGCAGCTTGTCCACCAGAGGGATAATCACATGGGTGCCTTTGGAGACCACGGGCACTGAACCTGGAGAAATAAAAAAACATACACATTTCAGACGTAATCCATGACATTATGACAGCTGACTTACTAATCATACTTGATGATATTAAAAACAACATTCATTAATTACTGAGTGATGTGCATCTATCTATTCTTTGCATTTCTTTTTATGTGATGTAGAATTTCAGTTTTCAACAGATACTATATAATTGATACTGTTGAGGTTGTATAGAAAATTGACAGGTTTTCTAATCCAAGTACATTTTACTGCCTTGTGTGAGCCTGCATAGAGATCTGAAATCGAAGTAAAAACACAGGAAAGAGAGCAGGTTAGAAAGTGGAATAAGAGGAAGGAATTGAGGGAGTTTGACAAGGGCCAGATTGTGATGGCAGAAAACACTTCCAAAATTGCACCTCTTGTGGGGTGTTCCTGGTCTGTAGTGGACAGAATTGATCAAAAGTAGTTCAAGAAAATAAACAGTGGTGAACAGCAGCAGGTGACTAAAATCAAAAGAACTGGACCAGTTTTTAGTGAGTCTTGCCTTTCAAAATATTGAATGGTGATATGCCTGTCTGAAGAGATTGTAATTGTAAAAATACAGCAATATGACTTCATACCCTTACTTGGAAGTTTGCAACAGACTTTTTTCTACTTTCATTTTTAATCAGTTCTTTCTGCTGCATACCAGATAAACTCAATTTAAAATTTGCATATCTTCAAAACAACATGCATGATATTACCTTTTTAATTAATACTTTTGAGCAGAACATCCAGCTTACTTTAGAACACAGAGCATACTGTCACTATTTCGATAATCTACACAGCTCTGTTATTTACTATGCGTAAACACAGACACTCGCTACCCACATGTAGACGCTCACCCAAGTCAGCCTGTGATTGGTGGAGATAAGAAATGGCAGTGCAGAAATAGTGATATGTTTCATTTTGCCATATCTCTCTTCCCATATTGGTATTGTGGTTCAAGATGTTCTGGCTGAAAGCTGCCAAAAAGCATCAGTTACTGCAGATTATGGTTAGATTTTCATAATGTTTTTCATGGTCTTATCTCAGAGCTTTGTGAAACAGATGTAAATAACATTTTAATGACTGTTGCCAGGATCCAGCCCCCACTTTCAGAGCCACACCTGCATTCTTCCATGCTTGGTGCATTACAATAAACACAGCCTTTCATATACACATAGTTTTGTCAGTTCATTTCATTTCATATTACAGAAACAAGGTCTGACCTTTCCAACCCTAACCTAAGCTGAACTCACATCATATAACTGAATAACTATCTATCCCTACATCTCCACGACTAATATAAAATAATAACTGTCTAAACACTGCGCATTTTCAGGCATGGTTGATCCTTATAGCCATAGTTTCTGCTTTGCCAGCACTTTACTCCTAAAAGTGACTCAGGGCAACAGTTCAAGTGGAGTTAATAATGTATGTTAATTTATTCTCCATTATTTAAAAGTGAATCAGAAAAGTACAATTAGGTCACAGCCCAAAGAAGACAAACGACCAACAGTGATTTATATCTGCCCGGGCGTGACCTTGTCTTTCACTGTGTCTGCAAATACCACAGTGTGCTGCAATGTCATCTCATGATCGGCTATCAGTCTCTTGCCTGACAAAACCGGCCCTAAAACGGATAAGGAAGACACTGTATTAATGCATTTCAAAATATAGTAACCTCACCTTAAGCATACACAGCGAACAATGACAGCAGTTGAGTTACATGACAGTTAAGACTAAGAGAGAGAGCGAGAGAGTGCTGTGGGCAAAACTCTCACTAACCATGAAAAGTGTCTCCAGAGGATCAGATCACCAGAGTGGCAGCTCAATCAGAATAGACTTTATACAATTTACACAGAGAAATGCACTTAACTGTGGCTGTGTGATGCAAAGGGCCTGACATCATGATATATACTCTGAGCCTGACATTAACATGTATGTCTGCTTCCTGTCTCCCCGATTTCAGATAGGGGTGATTGACAGATGGATTAGCCAATTAGAGAAAAACATACTCTATTCGTGTCAAAACAAATATAGCTTGTAGCAAAAAAGGACAAAGAAAAAACTCTCCACCCCCTTCAGAGTAGTTCGTCAAAGGACTTCTGAACTATATGTATTAAACTAAATAACTCAAATTTCATTAATTACCACTGTAAATGTGTTACTTTGAACTGTATGCACTGATAAATGGATAGTGGTTTGATGTTTATAGGCATCTAAGTGTACATCTAAGGCAGATCAGTTTCTTGCAATCGCTAAAATGACTCCAGCATTTTCATTTTATAAAGGTAACTGTATGCAAAAGTTTGGAGACCCCTGCTACAGAATCTATGGTCCAATTCAAACAGAATGTAGAAAACATTATAATGATTACCCTTTTAATACCCTTTGTACAGCATGCATGAAGACTTAATTCATAATGAACAAAGTTTATTAAGAATGATTCAGGCTTTATTAAAGATGCACTGTGTAACTTAGTAGGGGGTCTACCATAAGCGTGTTTCCATGGAGATATTATTGCTTTGCCTAAAAGGTTTCACAGTATGGCATTAAACTCACATTCATTCAACCCAAAACATGCTACATAGATCTCCAGGAAGAATAGCTGATAGCTAAGGTCAATTAAATACAATCAATCAATTAACCAGCCCAGAGACGACAGGTGGAAATTAGCACTGGTGCTACAACCTGGTACAATGTATCTCTCCTGTTAAGGTTAATGTATATTGTACACTGTCCCTGTCTCATTAAATAAATTAACTAAAAAATAAATTATTTAATTATAGATGCATTGCTACTCTTGCATTCCTACACTGAGTTAACTCACCTCTCCACAGATCTGATCTGTTTCTTGGCCTGGAGGCATTGCGGGGTTGTCTCCATAGAAATAGTTAAGTTTTATGCCAGAAAAACCATTAACATCTCCAAGAAGACAAGCAGGTGGCAGACCCTCCACCACAAAGTTACACAGTGTACCTTCAAGGCTATAAATGTTAGACAATTTACACAAGGAAACACGTGTGGCTGTGTGACACAAAGAGTCTGGCATCATAATATATAAACAACCAAAGTGGGCTACAGAATAAAGTAGGAAAAGCACATTTGTAGTTAAGTAAGTTTGACCTATGACAATAATGAGTGTGATAATCGCTCAGTCTTATTACAATAACTACATCTGTACACTTATGTTGCATGATGTAAAAATGTCTGCACCCCCGAGCTATAAGCGGCACGCAAAGGCATTGGGGGTGCTGTGTGTATGCGATGGCGGACTGATTAACCTGCTGCAGGGTGCTTGTTTTAGACAGCAGAGTTTGGCAGTCGTTCATTTACCCCAGGCTCTGTTCAAACTGGTGCTGAATGAAAACGGAGATCAGGAAATTGGCACTTTGCTGTTATCAAGCAGCTTGTTTTAAAAATGAAATGGTTACAATTTGGAACACAACTATATCAAAAGTGTTGGACCGGCATTATGGACTATGGGTATTGTCTGTTGGCTGTGAGCTGGAGCAATAAAAGGACTTTTACTCTTTGTTTTGTCAATACATTTAACAATTTACAATAATTGTCTTTATAATTACCTCTCTCAATTCTGTCTGCACTGCGTGTCCATAAAAATTACAATGAATCAATTAATTTAATTTATTTGGGTCGACCCTTCTTCTCCCAGTATTTGTCATCATCACATATAAAAGTTCCTTACACACTGAGGACTGGGGCGTGGGACTGGCAGGACTGGATTATTTTAAATTTCAGGTGGATTTTATCAGTGTTGGGGCATATTTTTTCCCCAACTCTCATTCAGTTTCCAATGCAGCTTTAGGTGTCGCCTGTCTGCACTGTGTTAACTGTTCAGTTTAATATCCCTGTGTCATTGAGTTCTGCACATAACAATTTAGAACAGCTCCTATTGAAAGCGATCAGGAAAGGCTATACATTTTATTGAATATTTGATGCAGATTGAATGAATTTAATGTGAGATTTGCTATATAAAGCCACTGCATTATTACTAATTTTGTTGATTTGTCTTTAATAACAACAATGCCAATCTATTAATATTATAGTGCAAAAAACCTCATTGTTTCATTCATAATAATACTCCTTCTCTTTACATGCCACAGTCTTGTCTGCATATATCAGTATAGAGCACATGTAATTACACACTAAACCAACATGGTAATAATTATCCTTTCCAGGTTTCTCTTGTGATCAAACATTAGCTGTAATTGCAGGATCTATATTTGCTTATGCCTCCTTAGCTGTTCACTACAACAACAATTACACACACGTTGACGGGGGCAATGCATCATGGGTAATCCAGTGGTGAGTGCGAGTAGCCACGGCAGTTACGTTTTTGCAGTCAGGAGTCAGATGGATGTAGCATCTGTAAAATAGCTGTCTGTCTCATTCAGTGCTGGAACATAGCAACCAAACTTGTTACCATAGCAATGGAAACCAAAATCTCTCCTTTCATTTAAGGTTATGTTCACAATCTAGATTTTTCTTATTATTATTATTATTTACAAAAGGGAGAGTACATATAAATGAACATGTTTCATATGTAAATATGCCAGATTAAAGAAATCTACCACAGAAAGGTATTTGTTAGCCCATAACCACAATTATAAAGTTAAAAAAAAAATCCAACTGCACTAGTTGCTTTACAGATGTTAGATTTAACATTGAAGAGATGTGTGATGATATTTTTTTTATATTTTGGCAGACCTAGACTGTAGTGCTACAGTACAACGGTGAATCCTGGAATATGAACTTGACTTGTTTGCAGCCTGTCATTCACCAAATAATCACACCAACGCACATACAAGAGGCCAGAGCAGTGGAGCAGTGAGGCAGCATTAAATTGCACACGGCATCTCTACTCTCCCACATGAATGTAACCTGTCACCTCAGGATTAGACCAGCCAAAAAGGAAAAAAATAGCAACTTCTAATTAGTTTTTGTGAGTAAGTTCTGGCACAGCATTGGCTACTGTTGATACATTTCAATTGAGTAAAATTTGTAGTAGTATGTGGGAATAGTGAAAGCAGTAATAGCAAAAAAGATTCTTGAATAGTAAGACTAACAGTACTGGGAATACAACACATGTTTAAAATGATAAATGTAAAATAATACTCACTGATCATTTTTGTATTTAGTCTCAAAGACTATGTTAAAGGTGCACTGTATTTTACAGGGGTTTAGACAAGCTTGGAGTCAGCTCTCCACAGACTAGGTCAGAATATTGGCTTGGTAGTATTACCTGCTTGTCACCATTGAGGTAAGTTTAATGCCTTACCGTGCAACATTCTAGGCAAAGCAAAATCTCCACATACTGTATGGTAGATCCTCCACTAAAAAACGTACACAGTGCACCTTTAACCATATCTCAATAAATTACTATTTAAAACCTATGTGACTCTAAATGAGTGCACTCACTGGGAGGGTAAAAATAATTACAAATAAATGTAAATTTTCACAGTTTTTTTGGTCAATGGTAAAAGGAAAGAATCTTAAGTGAGTATGTTAGGGACACAGGCAGGAGGAATTTGGGTTAATCTGCCTATCCTTCTATTAGTCAACATCATCAGTAAATAAATGTACTTTTTACCTCCGCCAAGGAGGTTATGTTTTTGCCGGCGTTTGTCTGTCTGTTTGTTTGTTTGTTTGTCTGTTAGCAACATAACTCAAAAAGTTATGGACCGATTTTGATGAAATTTTCAGGATTTGTTGGAAATGTGAAAAGGAAGAAATGATTTCATTTTGGGGGTGATCCAGAAGAAATCCTGGATTCTGGATCACTTTGAAATTTTAGTTAACATTGTGGTAAATGGGGCCAAAAATTTTGTTACTCAATATCTCGGTTAATTATTGACCAAACCCCATGAAATTTGACTCAGGGATGGACAATGGGATCCTCTTTCATATTCCTGATCCGGATCTGATCCAGAAGACTGATTTTATCGCAATTTATATAAAAAATGGGGGTAGTCCTTGGCGGAGGTCTGTGCTCTCTGAGTGCTTTTCTAGTCTTGAATATATTTTGTTGAATTACACTGTAGAAACTCTAAGTTAGTATTAGTATTTTGCAGAGCATGATGTTTGGATTTAACTGATAATGGCATTGTGAATAATTCTATAGAAGTAAATACAATTTGCAGAGGACAATGATAGTGGGATGGTTACGTTCTACTTAAAGTTACATTATGTAATATTTCAGATGTAGCTTAAAATACTTGAAAACCTTGCATTCTTACTGTTAATGGTATCAACTCTCCACAGAACTGACTTGGCTTGATGCATTTACACTAAATGTATTTACACCATGCAGTTTATTGTAAAAGCAGCTACTTTGACTGTTTTTGATGGTTCAAAATTAGCCTGAAGGAATGGACTTTGAGAGTAAGTCCAAAAGTTCAAACTCGGGTACAGGACCTTTAAGTGCAATGCTTTGCTATTATAATATTATACTTGTGAGGTGGGACAGAACATGCTTAAGTGCACTGACACTACACTACAAGAAGGATGGCATGTGGGTCAACCCTGCTTATCCGACTATCTATCAACATTACTGATAACAGCTCCTTATTCACTGAGGAGGGCATGTGACCAGTGGGACTAACCTATTTTGAGTTCCAGGTGGATTTTGTCAGTGTTGGGGTGAAAAGGTCGAGACAAAGTGATCCACATCTGGAAGGTCTGTCCTCTTCGGATGATCAAGTCTCTGTTCTGGTACAGCTGTGTGTGATGGGCCGTGCAGTTCTGCTCCGATTTGCCTTTCAGGAGGTCTGTAGATGTGACTCTGAGGATAGGGGCTGTTGAAACCAAGACACATGATCAAGGTAAGGTTATGTTAAGCCAGCTATTTGTTTAAAAGGGGTCATTTGTAACTTTGACCATAGAGGTGAACAGCTGGTAAGTAAGATAAAGATAAAGATTAACAGGCTTGACAAGTAACCTGAAAATGCTTTCTTATTTAATAACTATTGCTTCGTTTCTTATTTAAATAATTATTACATGTCTAAAATTATGCTGTGAATTTAACAGTAAAATATATTAAAGTGAACAATCTTGAAAAGTCTAAGCAAACTTTGAATAGGCCTTTCTGGGTTTAAAATGAGACTTTAAGATAGCCATGGTCATAGATAAATGTGGCTAACATTGCATTGTGTATTCTTATTTTTTCCTCAACTTCTGCTGCCCTGCTGTAGCAGGCCTTCATTTGTGTTTCTTTATTATGTTAGACAGCTGTTTCAAAATCTATTTAAGGGGACCACATGCTTTAAATTTGTTTAAAACTACCAGAGAGAGCCTGATGCAGCAGTCTGTCAGTGTGAGCCATTCCCAAGCTCCAATAAAAGGCTGTGTCAGAAAGGGCATCTGACATAATGACAAACTAAACAAATCCCTACATTTGTAGTAGACTGTGGATAGATGCCTAGCTATGGCAACTCTTATTGTAGTCTGAGGTTAGATGCTCAGCTATGGCAACTCTTATTTTTCCCTTTGGCCAATTAACTGATTCAGTGTCCATGTTGAGAGTGGCCTATTGATTCTTCTGTCTGCTTGTTTGATTGTGCCTCACAGTCAGACTATAATTTCCCCTTTTAACCATGACTTAATGAATTTGAATTACCATCCAGCTCATTGTCATGATCATCCCCAGGAGTCGTGGGCTTGTCCTCTTTCTCGTCCCCGTCGCTGTCATCCACCCCTGTGACCACAGTGTTCGCGAGGTCGTCTTCTGATGTGGTTTTACGGAAGCAGCACCAACAGGCCTTGTGTAACCAGCGGCGGCACGCGGTTTCCTCCGGCGCATCTGTCTCGTTTTCCCCCAATTCTTCCTTCTTTTGTGCCTCGTCGCCCGCAGTTGGAAAGCGACCCACAGCGGATGTGCTCCCGTGCAGGTGGCTCTCCACGGGCATCCTGCCACCACACACATCCAGGACAAGGTTAGTGAGACCAGCGGCCCAACACAAGAACACTTCTGGACAGGTTTTACTCTGGAGGTGTAAAGTCATTTGACCTGCAATTAGTTTGAGAAAGTGCAAAAAATGTCTTGGCCCGCAAACACTGCACATTTGCTCTTTCTGCAGGCGTGGGCCCAATGTAAATATAAATACATACATTTTGCCAGGATGTTTGATTCATGCTTTAATTTAGACTTTAGTAGGCTAAGTATCATTCATCATCCTAGATTTATTTTTTATATTTTTTTGTGTCCATCTTGGTCTATTTAACCTATTTTAAATGATCACTAGTCATGTGTTTTTATTGAGTGAAAGTGGTAAGTACATGTGAGGGAAGAACAGCATGTTATACTCAAGTAGTATGCTGAAATAAGACCTCTTTTAGGAGTAATCTCAGTTCAAAAACTGGGAACTGATTCAAAGGTTTTGGGGATGTTTTACTCTGGAGGTGTAAAGTAATTAGACTTGAAATATAAAGTGTAAGATTGGACTTTTTCCTAATGGCATGACTGACATTTAATCCCACTTATCACCCTGCATTCCTGACAGGGTTATTACTGATAGTACTAATGCTACATGTTTTATTTATTTCCAAACTGATAATGAGATTTTAGTTTATTTGCTGCTCCAAGCCATATTACGAAATAGGTGGCAGTATAATTTTAGCATCAAACATGAATCCCCTCTAATGTCTGGTGTGGAAAATGTATTATTATGCATGCTTGTCAAAACATTAATGTGGGGATGTAGATACGAGCCAAGGAATATAGTCCATAGAACTTCAATAACGTCACAATGAAGAAATTGTTTTGGTGTTGTACAAGACTGTGCTTTTGTTTAGAAGACATATTAAAAACATCTGAAGATTATGCAAAATAAAAACTAAGGTACAATGTAAACCAGGTGTAGACAAGGACTGACTGGGACTGAGATTAAACTTCCAATGTAATGGAAATGAGAAAAGATGCTCTAAATGGAACAAAATAACAAGTGTGCTTATTCTAATTGCGACAAAGCCTGATATTAAACTCCAGATATTACTAAACGGGCTTCAACTTGACAATTAAAAAAAAACCCATTACTGAGCCAATTCTAAACTATCTCTAAGCTATAGGAGTAGAGGAGAAAACACTAAACCTGGAACAAAACGTTATAATCCGAAAATCCATGTCTGAACCACACATGCCCTAACTACAGAAATTTGTCCCCATATCACTGTATAAGAAGCAGGATGCATGAGGACGGTTCAGGTGCTGCTGTTGGGACTTACTGAGTCATTTGGGATAATCCTGTCTGAATGAACATATTGGATTTTTGGGGTTACACGGTATAAATATTAATTTGGGAGCGTACAGTTATAAGTGCAGACATAGCAGCGGCAGCAGCAGGAGGGAGTGATAGCATCGGGGACACATCTGGAGTTGATGCTGGGGCTGATTTATACTTGAGTCACAGAGGGGAGAATTTCTGGGAGGTGAGCGTGTGCCTAGAATCACAAAAACAGCGGCACGTGAGGCATTTACCCTGTCATATGTAAAGCTCCCCAGCACTTTGTCACAACAGTGTAAAATAGATACAAACACAAATCTGAGCTGCAGCATTTTTGTTATGAGAAAAGCTGGTGGGTTGTCAGAGCAAGGATTCAGACAAAATAAGTGGAAAGTCAAAAAGTAATAGTGGGAGTGGGAGGTACAATATTACCACGGGGTATTATAGAGGGCAAATGCTCCATCAAGATGACACCATGGAGTTAGGAGGGTGTGTGGTGTGCCAAAAAAAGAATGTAATGATTTTCTTAGAGCCAGATTAAAAAAGGACGATTTTGTTTTATCACATTTCATATAGAAGTATTTAAAATAGTTCCTGCTTCTGAAAGTTCACTCTTTCAGTGTGTAATTTCTCTTGTGTGGGGTTCGCTAACTGCTTGTCTCCATGGAGCTGTTAATGTTTGGTCTGTTATGTTCCACAGTCTATCCATGATCCATTTTCTTCCATTTATTCGGGGCTGGGTCGCAGGGACAGCAGTTTAAGCAGGGATTCCCAGATTTCCTTCACCCCCGACACGTTCTCCAGCTCCTCTGGGGGCCCCCGAGGTGTTCCCAGGCCAGCCGAGAAACATAGTCCCTCCAGTGTGTCCTGGGTCTTCCCCGGGGCTTCCTCCCGGTGGGACATGCCCAGAACACCTCCCGAGGGAGGCGACCAGGAGGCATTCAGAACAGATGCCAAAGCCACTTCAGTTGGCTCCTCTTGACATGGAGGAGCAGTGGCTCCACTCCAAGCTTCTCCCGTGTGACTGAGCACCTCATCCTATCTCTAAGGGAGCGCCCAGCCACCCTGTGCAGGAAACTCATTTTGAGCATTTGTATCCACAATCTTGTCCCTTTGGTCATTACCCAGAGCTCATGACTGTAGGTGAGGGCAGGAATGAAGGTTGACCGTTAAATTGAGAGCTTCACCTTTCAGCTCAACTCCCTCTTCACCACAAGAGTGCGATACAGCGACCGCGTCACTGCTAACGCTGCACCGATCTGGCTGTCCTCTCACTCGTGAACAAGACCTGAAGATACTTGAACTCCTCCTCTTGAGGCAAGAACTCTCCACCCACCCAGAGAGGGTAAGACACCTTTTGTTCCACAGTATGGTATTTAACTTGACTGTTTTGCATTTATTCCATAAAAAGGTTTTTATTACTTAAAAATACCATGAAAAACAATAATTCTCATGACACAATGAGAAGTCTCTCCACAGATCTGACCAGTATCTTGGCCTAGTTTTGTTTCTGCTAATCTTCATGGAGAACATACCAGACAAACAGTGTTGGGAGTAACGCATTATAAAAGTAATGTATTACAGTAATGCGTTGATTTTTGCTGTAACGCAGTAACGTAAGGCATTACAGGGGGAAAAATTGTAATATTTTACTCGGTACAAATATGAGTAACGCGCGTTACAATGCTTTTTTAACCTGGATTGAAGTGGTGGGTTTTTCTTCATAGAAATTCGCTAAAATCACCATGAAATCAGCAGCGGTGAAATGCCAGAGACGCGGCCGGATAGACCTTCAGTTAACCGCGGGCGAAAGGACCAACCCGCTGTTTAGACCTGGTTTAGACCTGAGTCACTTCTGGTTTAGACCTGAGTCACTTCTGGTTTAGACCTGGTTTACAGTCGTCCCTCGCTCTAACGCGGTTCACTTTTCGCGGTCTCGCTGTTTCGCTGTTTGTTTGTTTTTTGTTTTGTTTTGTGCAATTTTGCATGCCTTTTGTTTTTAGTGTATGAACACGTATTGCGTTCCTCTCGCTGTGACCTGATCGGCTGAGGGACTCCTGTCTCCTCTACAGTACAGAATATGTTCAGTTGCCAAATTTAAATAAATGTTCAACCTCTAGCAGTGTGATTCTGAAGTGCTGTACGGTTGCAAGTTTTCTCCCCGACGAAACCCACAACGTCGACGAAACGTTCTGCACTGACAAAGGCTCCTGCGCTCGCACCCAAAGACAGAGGACGATGCAAACCATTGCACAAAAAGTTGGGCTTCTGGACACGTTGAAGGAAGGTAGAAGTTATGCGATGTAACAGAATCTTGCACCGGGTCTTGTACCCGCAAATAGTTGCTGAAATCAGGACCGTGAGCCCGCGCAGCAGGGTGACCATAAAGAGCGATCGGGCGACAGCCGCTCTTACCTCCATGAGGTGCGGAGCAGAGCCGCTCCTTTCTCCTGCGGTCACCTTCGAGCCCGTCCTGACAGTGAGTCCTGTTTTAGTCCTAGTTCAGTTCTGGTTTAGTCCTCCTCTTCAGTCCTGGAATCAGTCTGAGGTTAGTCCTGTTATAGTCCTGGTTCAGCTCTGGTTTAGTCCTGGTTTAGACCTTGTTTAGTCCTGGTTCAGTCCATATACGGCTCAAAAGTTCAGCTTTTTCGCAGTTATTTTGGTGAGAGTAACTTAAAGTAATGCAATAGTAATGTAATGCCTTACATTTTAAATGCAGTAATATTGTAATGTAACGAATTACTTTGAAATGACAGTAATAAGTAATAAATAATGCATTACAGTTTTAAAGTAACTTGCCCAACAGTGCAGACAAAACAATAACAGCTCCATGGAGACAAGCAGTTGGCGGACACTCCTCAAGAGATGTTACACACTAAACCTTTAAAGAACATGACGGAGGCTGACTTATAGGAGGAAGGGTGTGAAAACTTGTCTTGTTTGGCATTAAATAAAGTATTACTCAGTCAGTTACGATATCACCAAAATAGTATACTGTGACAAGCATCATATCACAATTTAAATTTTTTGTCACTTGGGGTTGATCAAAACTGAAGTCTAGACATATTAAAATACTAGGTCTCAAATTGGTAAGATTGGTTTCCCTGTGAGCTCCAAAAACAAAAAAATATATATAATTTTCAGATTTCAAAAACTCCTGGCCCAGATCCTGGCTCTAAATACCAACTGTATCTACTTGTAATTTTAGTCTTATCTAGCACAACAGTATAACAAAATGAAAATACACTGCAAATTTCCTTTATTTATCAAACACAGAATGTTAATACAAAGCAGCTACCAAGATAATAATGTGAACAGACAAATAAGACCCAAGCATAATAGTTGTACAGGGAAGGAGGAAGGCATGAAACTTAATCATGGGCTTGCAACTTAATCACGGGTTTGATTCAGAGGCAAATTATTTTTCATGCAATGACGGTTAGTGGTTGTCTGAGATCCAGAATACATATTTCTTTAAGATTTTACAAAAATGTGAGTCCTCCCCGTGCGTGATATTGGAGTTTTAAGCAGTTAAAAAACGTAATTTGTAAATGTACAATTTACTAAAATAATCAAATGAAACCCACAGTGAGTCTCTTCCAGTGGGTTGTGAGTCAGGCTCAGCAGTGGGTCCCTGCAGAGCTGCCACCACAGTTTTCATGGTTGTACAGAAGAGTGGGCTGTGCAAACACTTTCAGGGGGAAGGATGAAAGATGCTCCTAGCAGCTCTTAACTAAAACTCCTGTAGAAATGGGTTTCAACTCCTCCCTTATTACAACTCCGTATCTCATGCAATTCACGAAGCAGAAATTATTAGAAAATTGTTTCTTACAGATGCTAAACACGCTTTGTTCAATCTATTAGCTATATCAATGTACACACCAACAAATCCACACTTAGAAAATGCATACCATCTCTCACATATACAGGTCCTATTAGGAAAAGCAATGGGATTTTAACAAACTACAGATTTTGGCTGCTTGTTGCTGCAAGTTCAGCAGAAACAACAATTTAATATGACTTAAAGGGATTTCATTTAGAAAGTTTGAGGGACCGCTTGGATCATCCCTTTAAACAGCTCTCAGTTGACCCTATTGGAAAAATTACCTGCTAAATGCTTGCTACAGATGCAAAAGGCAGTGCCGTGTCAGTGTGCCGTTTAAAAAGATCTTATTGACTGCACTATTGATTCAAAACCTTCTCACAATAGCCTGGTGTCTCCTCCAAAAAGTGCTATTTCTGGCCCTGTTTTTACCAAGACACCTCCAACCTAACTATCTAAAAAGACGTGGAAAATTACACCCATTTTGTGCATGCGTGTTTAGTCTTTAATGGTGGCCAAAGCAGCACACACGAGGCTCTCTGACAGTTTTGTTATTCAAATGCAAATGGATCCACGGCAGAAGAACTCACACAGACATGAGTGGGTGACAAAAAGATGAGGATTGCTGGCGTCATAATTACAGATGACAAGTAAAAAGAAAAACATCAAAACAACAAAACATAAAACAGCACATAAAAGGTAATGGGATATCAATCTGGTTTTGGCATCCGAGCTATTGAGGACTTTTTGATTGGACTAAGTAAATGACTCATGTTTTTCTTTAAATAACTTCATTTAATTTAGCTGTAATATTTGGCTTTTGAGTGGAATTGGTGACTGATTAATAAAGGATTTTTGGTAAATAGATGATAAATGGCCTTGCCTTTGCTAAATGTACTTATTTTGATTTGCATTCATATTGGGACATGAGGTAATTCTTGCTGCACTTGATATTTTTGTGACTTTCTTTCACATGTACCTGAAAAGATGATCCAACTACATAGAGTTAACTGTACATAATTATGTATGTGTGAAAAAGCTGCACTAAAATATAATATAAAGTGTGACTTAGCTGCCCCACAGACTCAAAATTACCACTTATGATACAAAATGAATGTAATTATATTATTATACGCCTTTTTTGTTTTTAAATGTCTTTTAAAGGGCCTATATTATGCTATTTTCTGGTCTATGTTATAATGCTATTCAAAAACATCAAAGCGTTGCACAACTCCAGGAATGTTTTTGATGAGGAAACAACATTATGACATGACTCACAAGAATAAATTTTGCGCAATATAGGAATGTTAAGTGTGCTGGAACTGTAAAAGTCATAAAACAATTTCTATATATGCATTTCTTGGCACATTAATCACTTACATTAAATGGCACTTTGAATTGAACTGAGTGGGTCTCTTGGTCGTGCCATAAACCTTTATGATTGACAGCTTCTTTAAGTGGCCATATTATAGTTTTGAAAGGTCTACACGGAGGAAAACGACTGGCAGTAGCATAAATAAATAAACAATAAAACATTATGTAGCACTCCTGGTTTAAATAAAGCAATACTCAACTTGACCTGGAATGCTATACACTCTCTGAGGATAAATCTGATCTTGTTCTTTTTTGTTTTTTCATACATAGAATCTGTAACTAGCCTATTCTGTTTCTATTTGGAAAATCATTTTCAGGACAAAAACACATTACATAAATATAATTTAAAAAAAATTCAATTGTGCATTACTTAACATTCCAGTGAAATTAATATTAGATTAATTTTGATGTTGTTTGGACACAAAAAATATTTGTAATGAAATATGAGAAATAAGAGAAAAATCTTTAAACTCAATGAGTCATATTTGAATGCTATTTTGGCTCTGAGTTAGTCCAATTGATTATATGCCGCTTCCTTGTTATAAGGTCACTGAGTGCACCACATTTTTAATTGAGCAATATTCTATCTCACAAAATTTTCGATTACTTCTGTCATTCTCAAGCAAAACCAACTCTTGGCAGGTGGCGTTTTATTATGAAGCACAATAAGCTGTAGTATTTATGGAGTGATGGAGGCAGTATATTCTCCAGCGTGTTCAATAATGTCCTGGATAAATCACAGAGAGATAAGGGGCACAGTAGAGAATATGAGCGTGTGACGAGAGGAGATGAGGCAGGCGATAAGTGAAGCTGCTTTGAGCTCAGATCTTCATCAGTTAATCATCTAAAGAGAGCAGGCCACCCCCCGCTCTGGAACATCATATGCATCTACAATGGCCCCAAAAACTCAACGCTTTTCTTTAGCATAGCATGATATGAGAGAAGAAAGTGCAATGTGATTAATATATTGAACATTGTGACTGTATAGTTCAATGACTGAAGCAAGACTGTTTCATCCTCTGTTCAGGATAATGCATTCCCCTTCATCTCAATATCTGGGTGTGAATGAGCCAGGACATATTTTGGGCATTCCAACAAATATCTGAGAGATTATAATAGTACTCCAATAACTTTTTTGGTTGGATTCACTTATTAAGACCACTCGAAAAGTGCCCCTATCACAAAAGATGGTGCTCCTCTCTGCTACTATAGTACATAGTACTACAGAAAGATACTCAACTTTTACACTGTGCATGTGATGCCCGAACAAGTGGGTCAAAGTTGACTGGTAAGACGTCAGCAGCAGTCAGAGATATAATGTACTTGTGTGTCATTGATCATCAGGAGGGTGCTGATGCTCAGAGCCACACTCGTGACACAGCTGCCCCAGGGGTGAGAGGGGGGTCAAGTTTTAGGTAGTGTATGCATAGGATTCACTGAATGGAATATAAAGGCACTATTTGTGCAGCAGAAACAACTTAGGCTTTTGTACAAGTAGATAATGTCTTAATATTAGCCATTTGAAGTTGCGCAACTTTAACGTCACGTGTCAAATAATTAAGTAATAGGGCTAATTATTTTAAAAAGGATCCAACAACAACAGGTAATTATGAGGGATACCTTTTGTTCAAGTCCATATAAACAAAGGGAAAGGTTTGCCCAATCTGAATAGTGCACACTTGGAGGCAAAAGATTTAGTGTGGCTGGCAGCCCCAGATTAGAAAAAGCAAATCAGGAGAAATGTTGCATTGTTTTAAATGCCATCTGCAATATTTATGATAAGCCCTCTTGTCATATTGAATTGCTGAGCTAATGTGCAAAATGCAGTTCAATAAGATTAATTGGACTAATAAGCAGCACGTTGGTGACACTAAATTCGTTTTATATATTTGTTTGTGAGCTTTTTTATAGAAGAGGATATATTTAATAAAACTTTTAATGAAACAAATGTGACAGTGATTCCTTTTGACAGCCAGAATGCTATATTTGCCCATGTTGATGTGTAGAAATTACAGTATAACACAGCTCCAATATAAATAAGGCTCAGTCACTCAAATTAGCTTTCCCTCCTTTCCACATTCATTGATAGCATTGTTAGCATTCCTTTCTTTAAGAGGAACTACAAAATGAAAGTTACAAATTATTCTCCAAAACTAAAGTAAAAAAAAAAAAATCTGTGACACTATATTTCATTTAAAACAACAACAACAAAAACACTCACGTGGCTAAGTGACAGAGGAGAAGAGACAGAGGTAGGAAATCTTCTGAGCGTGGAGGAGTTGAACTTTCTACAATAACATACAAGGCAACTTTAAATAGTTTAGGCTCAGACTCAGAATGAGGACACGCCTTCTGTTGCCAGCCCAGACATTTGTGACACACTTAATAAGTAATCTGCAAGTACTTATTTCTAACACATTGAAAAAAGCTTTTAATGGCCTGAAATAGTCTTGGAATATGCTTTATTTCTTTTTGCAGCAACTAGAGCTCTTTATACTTGTGTGCTTGTGTAACTAGCAAACTGCAGTCAAAGTAATACGTGTTACATAGTTGTAGTCATCCAGCAATAATGTACTCATGTTACCCACAAACTGTACAGTAATAGTATGAGTATTATTAGTTGCATGTGTGGAGTTAGTGGTAGTCAATTTACATGCCCGCCACATATCTCTCTAGTAAATAATAAATGTAACTCAATTATTGCAGTGGACAAATTAACTAAATATCACCCCAAAGATTCTCCTTCCAAAAGGTGTAGTAATAGTAGTTGTAGTAGTGGTAGTAGTAGTAGTAGTAGTAGTAGTAGTAATTATCATGTCTTTATTGCAACAACATTAGGCATGAATGGCATTTAGTTTCAGTTGCAGGATAAGCTACTGACTATAACAGCTATAACATACTAAAACTATTTTAGACATGTCTTACTGTAATTTTATAATGTCAGGGACATATTTCTCTCATATATTCATTGTGTAATTACTACAATATCTACAGTATTCACACCAATGTCCTCATGTCACCAGCCAACTAAATAATTTCCAGATATTGGTGTACAATTGAATTCCCACATGGAGTGGATTGTCCAAAAATAAAACTCAATAATAAACTAAGCGGGCCAAATAAACCGTGTAAATGAAACAAATAATCTCCTAAACCAGAAATGGGGCTGAGTGACAGGTGACTCCTGGTACTGCCCAAAAACTCAATCACACAATCACCCTGTTCCTGACTCATATGCGGTGTACAAAATATGAAAATATGTGCACAAACTGGTTTAGGTAGCTAAGGCATGCGGTACGGTTAATGAGTTTACATATTTTGGCTATTTCCTTGTTTCTAGTAAGAGTTTATGACAGGTTAAACAACTAATTTCAATAAAAAGATGTTCCCTTGTTATTGTTATATTGAAGATTCTACCAAAACATCCTACAATTTTCTACTTGGGGAAATAAAAATCATCCCTTTTATTTTCTTAAATTAATGTTTAAACTGCCCTGCTGTCCTGTGTGTAAATTTCCTATGGCATGTTGGATTCCCAGTGCATTGCGGATGGAATTTATGTATTGATCACATAGATGGTAGAATTTCTGTAAATTTCTTTCTGACTTTTCTTCACAAACGCCTCTAGACTGGAGTAAAACTATGATGAACACTAACTCTATCCTTTCTTTATTTGAAATTATAATAACACATTAAAATAAGAAGGATAATATTTGTGTACAAAATAAATTGCAAGATTGAAGAAATAAAATAAAAATGAAACATACCACCTAAAAAGACAACAATATAAAAACCTGTGTGAAATGTAGGACGAGATGGTTCACATACAATGATGAATGAAATTACATAAGATGTAATAAAGTCAGCGTTAATGTAATTTAATTTATTGTCTTAAAAGCATAAATTGCAGTCTTGTGACACTCCCAGCATGTTTCTTACTAGCCGGGTTCAGTGACATAAGTGAAAAACTAACATTATTGAGGTGGTGTGTTGCTTAATGCACTTCATGGAAAAGCTTAAACAAGTGAACAAAGACAATACTAGGTGAATCAGAGTCTGTAGCTGTGGCACACCTAACAGCTATGAGACATGGTGAATCTTCCCATAAGACAATTTATAGTAAGTGCATTGGCAGCCAGTGTTATTCTGACCAGCTTTAAAATGGTGTGAGTTACTGTGTAATATACCAGTCAAGCATAACATAATGAATGACTGAAAACAATGCAGCCCCATAGGAAACAAAGTGAGGTACACCATCTATTCTGACACAACACCACTTGTGCAACTTCAACTAAAGTAGATTTTCTGCTTGCTCAGTCCTCTCAGTCCAAAGAGACCACCAAGGCTCCTTGTTTGGACCACTTGATAGATACTCTAGACTGAACCACCCCACTAGAAGAAGAGCACAATTTGGTCTGTGAAATGCTGTTAAACCTTTACACTTTCTTCTGTTTCTTACTCATGAGGTTTATAAGCAGGACCGGTATCAACAAATGTACACTATAATATTAATCCGTGTTTATGTAGGTAGTCATAATAGTCATAATGTCATGCGTGATTGGTTTACATTAAATATGCTAAATATCATCACGTTTTTATTGAGTGAAAGCACTAGGCACAGCTTTTATCATCTCGTGAGCCCTTGATCAAATTACTTCAAAGCCTGTAGCTGCAATAAGCCACTATTTCTTTACAGTCTATTACAGTCAATTAACTTCATTATCAGTGTGTTTGCATGCTTTTGGGCAAGTTGTGTTCGGCGCATTCATTCATCATGCATGCAAATAAAGACACATCTCATTTAAGTAGAATACACGGGAAGTAAAAGTAATTTCTAATAGAAATGCTCAATGTACCGTATATTTTAACTGTTGGTATTAATGCATTTATTCTATTCCTCCAAATATCACAGAATGGGAAGCATAATTTGGGGTTTTCCATTAGCTCAAAAGGCAATCAAGTTTTTCTTGGGAGACTTTGTTTAGGAGATAAAAACATCCTTAATATTACTTATTAATCATCATAAAACTGTGGGCTTAGTATTTCATATCCAATTGACTTGCTAAAACAGCATTCCAGTATTCCAGTTATTTTCATGAGTCTCTATGCCATAATGGTCAATATCTACTCTCATCACAGAGGGGCTGGTTTGACATGTTTTGATGAGATACAGTCATGTGATTTTCATTCACACACATTTTCACAGGTGAAGGACAAAGATGACAGCAGATCAGAGGGATGCCCCAGTCCCACCCTCCCAGTGGAGCACTTTGTTGATGGACACATTTTGAACCGTGACACTTTGGAGATGACAAAACAAAGTCAAACTTGTTTTTTTCTTTCACTCTTAACCACACATATTTACGATTATTGACACAGGGGAAAGACAAATAGCTGATGCCAGGTCCCCTTCGGAGGTGCAGCCTAGTGATGGACATATGATGAACCGTGACAGTTTAATTTTCTTTCTCACTTGCAAACACAAACATATACACAGCATTGCAAAAGACAATGGATACCAGTTGCCCCCGAAGAGGAATCAGAAAAGGATGGGCGATATGACAATAATAAATACAATCGTGAACCTGGGGTGATCTGCCAATCAAGATCATTAACAAGTGTCATCTATTTTTCTCACCTATAGAGCTCGGGATTGAAAATATAAAATATAAGTGTTATTGACCAAATCTGGCATGTTTGTAGCAGCAGTGTAAAACATCCATTTAGCTGCATTTGCTAAAATAAAAAAAAGGAAATAAATGAGCTGTGGAACAACCCCATAAGCTGCTGAATCACTAATTGTAAATTATACAATCAGCTCTCTACAGTGTTAGAAACATGAAGGTGTAATCCCTCATTCATCCACGAGTGGTTCAAAGTAGAAAAAGTTTCAAAGGTCATCTCGACACATTTTTTGAAATCAAGACATTGGGAGTTGAAATGTCCTGATTTCAGAAACCTACCTTTGAAAACTAGAGCGTCAGAGCACTTTAAATTTAGTATTTACCATCTAAAATGTGTATGTAGGGTCAGTCCACCTCAGTTCATCCAATGAGTTAAAGCCTACTTTGTTAAATTTTGATGAAACTTGGTACTGAAAAGCCAGAATTTCAAATTTTAGTTTGATCGGACCAACAGTTTCCGAGATATTGCAAATTCATTTTTCTACTTTTTTGTGTGGTTGCCGAATTTCAAATTGGATTTACTCAGCAACTACTGGTCCGATATCAAAAACCAAGGTATCTCTGGAAAGGAGAAATCATAAATAATCAAAATCTGGCATTTGGCACAATTTTTCTTAGAGTATATCAACTCGGACTCTGTGTGTATAAATGTATAGCCGTATACACTGAATGGATATTTGCCATGTCTTAAGATGGGGGTAAGTCAACTTCTAGGTAAATTTGTGTGAAAATAAAAAAGAAAACCCCTCCAGATTTTTTTATATGTTGTAGTAGACATATAGAGCTAATTTTTTTCTGTTGGTGTCATTGAGGTCCCTTATTGTCAATTTCAAGGTCAATTTATATGTCAAAAAGTAATTCATCATCGTTCATCAAAAGTAGTGAAATGCAAAAATAAATGCCAGATTTAGATTCCTTATATTCCCCATTTCCCCTTTCCAGAGATACCTTGGTTTTTAATGTCGGACCAGTAGTTGCTGAGTAAATGCAATTTGAAATTCGGCAACCACACAAAAAAGTGAAAAAATTATATAGAGATATCTCGGAAACCGTTACCCATACACCAATTTTCTTCACAATTGGACAATATGAACGTTCATATTGCTGTTTTCTGGGTGAATTGAGGTAGAATGACTTGGTAGTATGATGACACAATCCTGAGCTCTATTGGTCAGCCTCAGCAGAACCAGATGCACTATTCAAGTTTTAATGTGGGTAATGTGGGGGGTCCAAAACCTTTTCTCCATGGAGCCACCACCAGAAAACTCACATAGTGCACCTTTAAAGGCACCCAAATATATTTCAAGACTAAGGCTAAAATATCATTATGTTAACTTGTTGCCATATCGCCCACCCTTAGTGCTAAGACAGGTTGCCCCATCAAAGGAGCAACTCGGTCACAGAGGGCAAAAGGGCCTTTATCTCAGCCTCAACGCCGTCGCTCAGAGTGACAGGGTTGCCACGGAGATCAAGATGCTTAAGTTTGGGGCACGAGGCCAGAGGCTGCAGATCTGCCAGTGTAGAGATTTCTGAGCAGTATGGTTAAGGAGAAATAAACATGGGTAGCAACATTCAATATTTTAGTAGAGTTTGCACTAGAAAGAAAATAGTTTCGATCATGACAAACACAACAGACGAATCCTCCAGCAACTGAAGCTCAAGAAGGGTTTACTGCACCTTCGGGATTGCAACAGTAATACTAAAGGAAGGCTTAAATAGTTAATCATCCCCAAAGGAAACATATCTAACACTGTTCGTAGATAGATGCCAACAATAAGCTTCTTGCCCTTGGTTTATTGCTGACTATTCACAAAAAAATCATAGTAAAATAAAATGCATTAAAAAAATCAGTAAACACCTGATACTTGTACATATTCAGTGCAGAAATCGTTCAATTTTGTTCTGCTGTATTGCCACTTAATGGTTATTCCTAATTATTACCTCAATAAATAGCAGTGTCTGGAGCAGAAGTCGGATCACAGTGTCAAATTTGACGAGGGGACATGAATTCATTTTGTGGGAAGCCTAAATATAGAAAGGAGGATGCTGTAACTCGACAGTCATTACAAAAACAACTGTTTGGATGCAGCCCTCAGTGTCACAACCTTATTAATTCTCCTCAAGTGCACCAGAGGAAGTGGAGCATGCAAGGGACATTACGTGTTGTTAAGAGTCGTTTTCCTTTTTAATGAAACTCAAATTGTAGCTCCTAAATTGGTAGCTTCAACACACACACAAAAACGCTGAGGTAAAGCCATTAGTTCAGCTGCAATTGGAACCCTCAAACACCAGATTTGTGTAGTGCAACTTTAACACCACACAAACGCGGGCACGCACACACACGCACACGCACACACACACACGCACGCACGCACACAGTCATCATTTCTTAGGCTGTTTTGAGGGTTGATTCACGCTTTTCTTGACTCACTAGAGGACTGTTGAAGAGTGAATTTATCTAACTGGTTTTCCTCAAATAAAACCTTTGTACTAGTACTCCAGTGTTCAAGGACGCTATAATGACAGATAATGACTTCCTCGGGCAGTGAGTCAATTAACTTATTTTAGTAGTACCACATAAGTTTGAAGTGAGAATTTCTGGCACTATTCTCTTCAGAACATATTGGCAGTACACGTTAGGGTTATCAGTACTGTATACGAAATGTACAAAACACCACTAGATCTAAAATTATTAATTAAGACAAATTAAGACATTCTAGTTCAATGCAAAAATGTCATATTGTTACTTTGTTTATGGAAGATTTAGAACAAAAAAAAGTTAATTACATAAAAAAATTTAGCAATCTTCAAAGTAGCTTCCTAAAAATAGGTTACAAGTCAGTGTTTTTTGTGTCAGTTTTCTAGGATAACAAGAAGTAATGCCATCCTAGAAATTGCAGCATATTATAAAGTGTTGATTCCAACTCTTAACTGGTGCAGACACTAAACCCACATTGTTTATTTTTGTCACAGTACATGGCTGGTTCTCATATAAACAGCATCTAATATGAAAAAAGAGAGCAGACAAAATGTCTATTTGTACTTTTATAAACCTTAAGCAGTAAAATGCTTTGATCATTTTCCATTTGTATTAAGTGTAAGTTATGTGAATTTGACTTTGAAATCAACTCATTCAAGCCTCTTGATTGACTAAAGATGCCATTAAGGACATGGGAACTTAAAAGTGCACTGTGTAACTTCTATGTAGGCGGACCCTCTCCTCCTTATATAATGTACCTTGAATATAAAACAAATATTGGATTTAAAGTTATTAAAGGATACTGTTATTTCTCAAAAGCACCTCCTCTAGCTTGGGAAGGTGATACAGTCCTTCGAGGTTTTCTATCAAGTTATTGTCGGCCTCCAAAACCTGAAAGTGTGAAGAAACCATTTAAGACACAATGAAAAAAAATCCACTCAATCTCTTGCTTTGTGACCACCAACTGGGATAAGATAAGAACGGAAGCACTCAGATTCATCGAGCAGAGCTGTGATACCTCCAGGCACTGCAGCATGGCCAACTGAAGAGGCAGCCTATGTAGCTGATTGGATGAAAGATTGATATGGGTGACCAATACAAGCTGATCCAAGTGACAAAGAGTGGTCAAGTTCTGTAAAAAAAGAAAAAAAAGAAAATTAAAAGTGGACAAATACATATAAGGCAGTGGTTCTTTAACTATTGACACCAAATACAGCATTGTAAAAGATTTAGCCTCCCAACTACTATTAGTCTGGACTAAACCAGGTATTAATTGGGACCTAACCAAGCCAGAACTGTAGTAAATATTTACCTAAACTGGGCCTGTAAATTGGCCTACATACTGGTCTATAGGACATGTAACACTTATGTATAAGCCCTGATAAGAAACAACCAAAGAGGAAAAACTGGAAGTAGTCGTGATTTTTATTTAACCAACCTTATCAGAAATGCTGAAAACTCGGACCTCAGCATATTCCATTTTGAGAATTGTGTTTTCGATCATGAACTTGCTGCAAAGGTCGCTGTAGTAAGATGAACGCATAGGGTCTACTTCCTAAAACAGAGGAAGAGAAAGAGAGAGACAAACAGAGCGAGACAAGGAAAGAGGGGGAGGGAGAGAGATGGAGAGAGACTGCTTTATACAATTTCATAATGGCAGTCGCTAGAGAGTACAGAAAAATTGTGATCACATTGAAACTGTTCTATGGACTGAACTTTTTGTTTGCTACATTGCCTACAACAAAATGAATCATTAGGCAATCATTACGTCCACCTTTGAAATTGCACAAGGTTATTGCTCAGTAAGAGCATGAATGGCAGATCAGACATTAGCAGGTGTCTCTGTGGCCAGAGTGTCTATCAGAATCCTTCAAAAAAAGTCTGTACTTACTTTGAGGGTTTCAAAATGAGCAAGTGTCTCTTTCTCATATCCCAGGGGATCTAGCGCCCTCATCAGGAGGATTATGGTGAGCAAGCACCCTGCCATTGAAATGTACACATCAGTAACTCTTGTCCCTGAGCACATTGATTGTATCTGGCTCTGTCTGAATAGAGATTTAGCACCACTTACACTTATTGAGTGGCTCCAGCTCTTGTAGCTGGTTACACGACTGCAGTTCAGATTGGAGCACAGAGGTCTTCTCCACTGAGAGTTCACTCCTAAAGAAAAACAGTTAACATTTCTCTCATCTACATTCAGCAAAAAAAGGTTTCTTAGGATTCAGAGAGACCCATCTGCAGGAAAAATGCCTCACATAACTGCAGAATAATAACTGGCTCAAAACATTGCTAAAAACATTTGTAATCTGAGAAAGACTGGAGGAAGTAGTCAAAACATGCCAAGGTTTATAACCACTCGAAGATGTAACATCTTGCTAAACAAAGAAACTTAGCTAAAAATAAAAAGTAAAAATGGGGCAAAGTATAAGGAGGAAAAGGGCAGTCCAATAGCTTCTTTGTACTGATCTAACATTAAACTTAACTGAGGTATTCTTCAATTCGTTTCAGTGTTATATTCACTGTTTGTCTTAATCCATTTATATTTTCATTCATAAATATGGCAGTGATCACCTGTGAACACATACTTTACTTACTATGCACATCACCAACATTTATGAGAAACACTTTTGAATAACAGAAACAGAAAATAAAGTATTCTTATTTTTGCTGGGTGGTTAGGAACTAGGAGAGAAGCAAATTGAGGTGCACAAGAGACTGGGTAGAGATTATTTAAATGAATGGAGTTGCCTTGAGCCTGACTGACAGTACCTGAACAGCTCCTGATCAGTGGCAGAGTCTCGACACCAGCTCTCAGTCCGACCTAAAACAGGAAACACATTTGTGAAGCAGGTCTTTAATGGAACGTGGCACAGGGACCGCAGGGTACAGTGAGCTACCTGTGTACAGAGCACAGTCTCTTTGAGTGGGTCTCTCGCTCCAGTGCACTGTCACATTGTGCTCATTTGTGATGTCACTTATTGTTCCAGGTGGGAGATGGCATATCTGAGTCCATGTTCAGGTTTAAAATCAGGCTGGAAATTTTCAGAGAAAAACTGCCTCTACAGGCTTTAATAAATACAAAAATAAAATTTGCATAACTTTGGTCATGATAAGAAAGTTTTCTTCCAGTATATGCATGTCCAAATGAAGCTCAAGCACAATTTCACCTGGGAAAACTGAAAAACCTGCACTTTCAGTTCTAAGCCAGACACTTTTACCATCCCATTTTCACCAAGCAGAATAAACATCAACCTCCTCAACCTCTCCATCTCATCTTTTTCTGCTATGTCCAATATTTTGGTCCTGGAGGGATATGTATTTCCTAACAAATGTATCAATCTCTAGCACTGGACAGGTGCACAGAGCACACAAGGCTTTAAACCATTTCTAGCTGTCTGGATTTATGTTCCTTGAACATTTTCTGGCAACTGTACACAAATTAATACTGAAAACATTTTGCCTTGGTACATATTAAAAAGTTTGGTCCATAAATTCCTGTCTGACATTGCAAAGTTTTTTTGAAAGGCTCTGGGTGTATTTTTAAATAATGCACATCCTGTACATCACTCTCCAAATAAAGATAAGCATAATTATCTTCCAAACTCATAAGATGCAACTGAGTAATAGGTCAAGCTGTGGCTGTCCGCCACTTCAAAAATAACAACAGAACATGTCTGGGGTGAGTCACATTTAAAACCCTTAGTCTAAAGAGGTTTATTTGATCTTCCAATAATTTATATTATTAAATTCTTTTTTCAGACCAAGGGTTTGTTTTCATACCTGACAGTTTCGACTGCTCACTAGTGGTCTTCCTCAGAGTGATCACGTGATGTTGTTGATTTAAACAGGTTTTGGCACTGCCTTCCTACCAGTAGAGGCAGGATGACAGCCCCATCTGCAGTCCAACTTCCTTAGAACAGTATCCGAGGTGTGTCAGAGTAAAAAATCCCCCTTGTCCCGGTTGATACTTCCATGGGCACGTTTCCATATTTCGATTGCCTCTTTAATCCATCGTCGTTGTTTGTTGTCCTCTGTCCCAGTAATGTTAGCTCTGTCCCGGCCCATAATGTGGTTCTCTCTTTTACAGTGGTCAGAAATGGCCGATTTGAACTGTTCCTGTTCTACTTTTTTACTCTCACACACCTGGGATACTGACCTGAGGAAGTCAGACTGCAGATGGCGCTGTCATCGTGCCTCCTCCAATAGGAAGACAGCACCAAAACCTGCCGAACACATCACAGCAACATCTCGTGACCACTCTGAGGAAGACCGCCAGTGAACAGTTGAAACGGTCAGGTATGAAAAAAGAAACCAATAACATAAGCCTTCTTGTTCATTTTGAACAGAACAAGAGGTGCCATGGTTCAGCTTGTCCTATGAATAATTCATGTAAAGACTTTACTTGCATGTTCTCTACTAGAGCCCGACCGATATATCGGCTGGCCGATATTATCGGCCAATATGGGCACCTGGAGACATATCGGCTATCGGCCGATATGCTTGCTGATATGGGCCGATATTTCACGTGGGCATGTTATACCTCGTTATAAAGCTTAGACTCTCTACATTATGTTCATTTAATCCAATTTATAGACAGATAAATGTCCTAATATGTGGCTCCGCATCAGTATTTATTTGCGGTGTAATTTGTCTGTGTCCTTACTGTCCCTGAACACACCCCCAGAGTCACGTCACTTCACTCACGTGCTATTGTTTACACCCGCAGCCGTGCGCAACACTGACATTATATTCTTTTTATGGACAATCGGTTTGAGTCTGGATTAAAAGGACATTTATTAGTGCAGACTTGTGATGTGAGGAGGAGCCTGTGTGAGCGGTGAGTGTTGGAAATACATCGACTTTGAAGCTAGTTTAGGTTATCTGTTAGCGATTAGCTGCTGTAGCTCCCGCACATAAACAGGCTGTTTTCTATTGGCCTATTGTAAAGTGACTATTGTCCGTACATTTGTTACTGGACCAGCATTGATATGTAAATGAGCTGTGAATAGACGTGTGAATGATCCACATTTATGCATATAATTAATACCGCGGTGCGCACGTTTTTACGGCTAAAGGCTAATAGCGGTAGTTTATTTACTAGCTAGGAGTTATGGGTCAGTCGCGATCGAAGCGGCTCTTAGAGCCGGCTCTTTGAAGTGAACGACGGGAGCCTGCTTCTTATTGGGAGCCGTGTTTTCTCTTTTTCTCTTCAAGCTGCATATAGACCCGTAGTCTGACAGCAGCAGCGGCTGAAAACGAAACTTTCAGAAATATGCGTGTGCATAGGATTAAAAAAAAGTGCATATTTGGCTGCAGTTCAGCATAAAATAAATAAAGCAGGACTAATCTTGGGCTTGAGAGAGAGATAGAGACCGAGTCCCGACACTCAGTCCTGGTTCAGTTCTGGTTTAGTCCTGTTTTACACATGGTTTAAATCTGTTTTAGTCCTGGTTTAGTCCTTTTTCAGTCCTTGTCCAGTTTTGGTTTAGTCCTGCTTGCAACAAAACAACAATCTCAAGAGTTGCTTGGGAGCCGAAAGAGCCAGCTGCTTTAGTGAGCCGAGCCAAAAGAGCCGGTTCTCCAAAAAAACAAAAAAAACAAAACTGGAATACCCATCACTAGTAGCTAGAAAAAGATGCAAAAATGCCATTAGGCCAATCTACTGTATGTAAATATGATGTAAAGAGTCAGAATAACAATAAATGTTGCCTAAATAAACCCAATTTAGAATCCACTAGAGCCAAACCTAAGTTTTTTAAACAATTCAAGATTTACAGTGAATTTTTACATCACTAAATATATCGGCGATTATATCGGCTATCGGCAGCTCCAACTCCCATTATATCAGTTTCATATCGGCCACAACAAAATCCATATCGGTCGGGCTCTATTCTCTACTAGGACAATACATACAACTAGTTTATCTGGCATGTATTAACTCCGACTTTTGTTACAAATTACTCACAATGTCTGTTTCCGTTTAATACAGCTCTATGCTTTAACACAAAGATTAGCCATTCACATTACCTTTGTCTAAGTGACAGGTGGATTTAACCAACATCAGTGTTGTATGGATTCTACAGATAGTAGGCCAATAAAGCTATCTTTTTCTAACTGTATAAGGAACTCTAGTTGAATTTTTAGATATTTTTTTTCTGCCCTTGTCTTTTCCTCTCAAGCACTATGTAACAAAGGATACCCAAACTGGGCTATGCTTGAAACAGGGATGGACACTTCTCCAGTCGACTTTCAGTGGCTGACCATCGACCACCAAAAGCAAACCACTAGATTGTGCCTAAAAGTACAATTGAAAAGAGTAGTAAGACAGCTAAACACTCCAATTTTACCTTCTTCAACAAATAAAATGAAGACACTTACGTTGACAGGTCTGGAGAAACCAACCACCACTCTCTCTTCATCCCGAGAGACATAAACACAGCTTATCATCTCCTCACGGTCCGCTGCATAAATAAAAATACCCCCCAAAAATTATGTCAAACTGTGGGGTGGATAACAAAAAAAAGAATGAATGACAAAACAACATTTGAATTACCTCTGCCAAGAAGCCAGCGATAATAGAACCATGCACTTTGGTCATTGGGATCGGTGAAAAAGGCATTTTGTACAAGCTCATATTCTGGTAAATGACAAAAACAATGCATTATTGCATTGGATATTAACATATCAGGTATAATGGTAAAATGGCAAATTAAATACATCATTTAACAATTAATAATTAAACCCAGCTGTAGTTTTTTACTCATTTGTATCTTTGGAAAAGTATTATTATAACAGACCAAGCATAATAAAAATAAAACACAACATCAGAGCAAACCATAGGCATGTGTAATAAAAAATATGATAATCCTTTACTGTCTCCCATGAGAGAAATGTCTAACAGCCTGATTAGAATAACAAAATGAACAATAAGAAACAATAAGAAATCTCCAGACTGCCATCTGTTGTTAATTATTAAAAATTACAACCATACCTTTGAGTAGCCGCTCTTCACACACGCGATGAGAGTGGGTTTGCGAAGATGGAGGGTCCATGCTCAACTTGGGGTCAGGGGATTCTGGATGAAGCAGGGGTAGGAGGGTGCTGCGGTAGTGCCAGCTCGAATAATTCGAAAAGTTGGAACCAATAAGACGATCAGTAAATTCCAACTCTTTTTCTACAGGGACACCAGACATCTTTACTACCATCCGGCGGTAATCCCAGCAATGGACTGAAAGAGACATGAGCATATGTCAGCAAATTAAACAAATCAAATAACACAAAGTGCTTTTTTTCAGTCCTACTGAAGTATAATATTAAAAAATGTCAATAATTGTGAATATTATTTCATTAATCTAATTGGCCTTTCTCTTTATTCTTTAAGAGTTATGTTTATCAACTGGAGTTTATATCAGCAAATAGGGTTAGTTTATTTGTGGTACATGCTTAAGAAACAACTTTTTAGAAACAAATTAACTAAAGGCTAAAGGTAAATTAGGAAATGTCTCCTTTTAAGTATTATAATGGAATTGATTCAATAATTACAATTGTAACAGATCATTTGAAAGTTGATCTAGATCTTTTACTCACAGTTGCGGTCATCCAGGCTCAAACAACGATCACAAAGGCTGAGCTCTCTCTCCCAGTTGGGTCGTGGAAGGTGGGCTGACACCCATCCTCTGTGGAACCAGCTGCCATAAGATTTTGGGTTCACCTTCAAACATGACTCCAGGAAGTGCAGCTCTGACTCGTAAATCTTCTGCATCTCATCCTCGTCCCTAAAGTCATAAATCACAGAGCTATTTTCATCCCTGCCTGTATCTCCTGTGAGTCACACCTATGTAGATATCATGACCAAGTGACAGCATGAAGAGGTACTGAACTAACTTTACGGTCTCAAGGTGCATGAGGATTTCTCGCCGCTGGTTCCAGAGGGTCGCAAAATCAGGATTAGAGGACAGGAGCTGTTGGGTTAACTCCAGTGCCTCTTCATCCTTGATGCCCTCTTTTCTCTGTTTTACAGAAGACAGAAGGGAGGGTGTGAGAAGTTAACTTTTGAACCTTGAGGCTGTAGACATGCAAGTATAAAGCACTTTCAACAACCTTAGCAAAGCAGGCATCACGTGCAGCCACATAGATCTTGAGTTTTTTCTCACGCTCTTTCTTCTTTTCCTCCTCCTGCTGGGCTGTAGTTTTTACCTTCACTCTACCGTGCTGCAAAAGAAAACAGTCTTAGTAAAATAAATAAATAAAAAGTACCTAGCTATATATAACAGCTATATAAACAAGTTTGATAAGGGAATTATGCATGTGGAATATCCTACCATCTTGTGCAAATGTAAACCGAAGCTTGTCCAAGAACCTGATGACAGAAAGACACAAGTCGTGAGCTGATTGATGACACTTGAAGTATACACTTTTGGCATTGAAGCTAGTCAAAGATAACCTTGCATTAAGATATGACAAACGGCAATTTAAAAACCTCAATGAGATATGACAACAACAATTAGCTTTATCATTAGCCACGTTGTGAACAAACTGACTCTCTGTTTCTGAGAACATCAACAAAATACGTTCATACTTGAGCATATTACTGCATCACAAGAGCGAGGACAATATCGGAGTATCCGTAGATTAAGTACCTACCGTTTTAATGAATGAGGTTTCTTGCTTTAAACAGAATTGTGTTTTCATTTGTGTCATTGGACTACAAATTGTACTTCCGTCTCGTGATTATTGCGTCACGAGACTCGCCCTTGTTTTAACTGTGGTGTTTTGGTGCTCTCTAGTGGAGAAATATGGTAATGCAGATTGGATTTTCATACTAGGAAGCTACATGTAAGTTCCTATAAAGTTTTTAATGTTAAAATATTGTAATATGTAAGAAAAAAAGTATTATTAATCATATGTGAGAACAAAAAAAGGTGTCAAAAATACTGTAAGCTTTTATTTTCTTGTAAAACAGGGCACTAAATGCACAGAAAAGTCGATTTTTGATTCCTGGTTTGTCATAATTGTTCGATTAATCACTCAGTCTAAGTGTAATTTAGTTGGAGGAACGCTCTTTGTTGAATAGCACGGATCATTTGTGCTCCCAAGTTCCTACTAAAGTGTTGTAATATTAGATAGCCTTCTTTTCTATGAAGGTTTTTGTATTAAATGTTGAAAAACACAAACCCTACTTACAAGAACCAAAAGTGGATTATACAGCATCTTTACAAAATATGTATTCTTACTCTTATTATCTTAATTTCTATAGTCTCTTAACAGTTCACATAAATGTAAGGCTTATGTATTTCTGGCAGAGATTTTGATAAATCATTTGTATACATCATTGTAGGCTATATGGATTTGAGGATGAGCTGGATGACAGAAATAGACTGTGGTCATCATCACACACATTTGCAGTTTTGGATTACGCATTTTTCTTACTCTCTTTCTTCTAAATTCAATTGGTGAGCTATTTCTATTTTTCAGATTAGACCAAACAATTCAAGGACCATTTTTAGAATGACCCTGATTAAAAATAAACTGCATTTAAAAGTTATTTTAAAAATCTGGTAACTTCTATGATGAGTGCAGCACAGTGTGATTAAAAATACTCAAGAACCAAGAATACACTCAGTTCAGTGATGATTTAAAAAGTAAAATTAGTTCTTCATTTGTACTAGCCCTGTGATAATAAAAGAAACATTTAATAAGTAAAATTAGTTGTTTGTTTGTACTAGCCCTATGATAGTAAACGAAACATTTAATGACTATTGCCTAATGTTAATTACTATGTAGGACATCTGCAGTGCATCATCAGCTAAAAGTACATCATGCAAACAAATGACAGTGATTTGCTGCAGTGCGTTTAACAATCAACGAAGCAGCTTGATTGCCTCACCCAGATCATTCTTTTCTCTCCAGTGTTTCTTTTTAACACAATAAAGGTCAATTAAAATCTGCTGTCAAGGTTAAGTGTTTACAAAAACTGTGGAAGTTTTTGGCTTAGGTTTAGTTCCACCTGGTGAGTCACATGCTTTCTGCTGTTCATCTCTTACAGCCTTAATAAAAGATTTGTATATTGAAAGATATACAAATTAAGTTTGTATTTTTACTTGGCTATCCTTTCTATAATTAATGTAATGTTTATCCCCATATGGGTCGGTATAAGACATTTGCTAGTTACCAAATTCATTTCCTAGTTTTAAATTTTTTTTTTCACAAGTCATCAAATGGTGTGTCCTGCATTTGATCAACATTTTGTTCATGCATTTAAGATGTAGTTTTTTATATCTCATCTTGAAATTCTATACTGCATGACATACAGTAAATTTTATGAACAGTGCAAAGCTGTGCAAAGCTGTAAGTTCTTCACCTGATCTATAATTGTCTGAAAATATAATGAGAAACTGAAAGTGCATCCAAGATAAACATAGGTACCAGATTTTAAGCTTGACTCTTCTTTTTTATTTTGTTTCCGTGTATTGAACATCCAGTGTTTGAAATATGATTCTCTAGGGAATGCATTTTGTATAAACAACAAAACTTATTTTCCTGGATACAGGTTTTTATCAAGCAGATTGGTCATCTCCATCCAGGACAGGTCCCACTGAACCTCCGTGACATCCTGTTTAGTGACCGGGGGGTCTACAGATGGAATATCCTGCGTGTGATGGGGCCGCCAGCTATTGGTGCATATGACCTTGTACCTGTTAGAAGACAGGCTAGATGTCAGGTATGTTTTTTTATTGTTGAATTTTACTTGTTGTTATACTGTGAAATGGCTTTTCCAAATTCCCTTCATCCACATAATCCCATCAAGACAGATGTCTTGTGCAACACAGTGAGCAGATTTAAAAGCAAAGCAGAAAGTCACCTGTTTCGCCAAATGAGCCACACACTGACAGACACAAGGAAAAGCAAAACAATGGTACATGACACTATGATCCACAGCCCAGGACCTGAAAGAAAAGGAGGTCAATGAGAAATAGAAGTACTTGAGACGTATCCTGTATAAAACAGGCTCTTAGTAAACATTGAAACTATCAGTTTTCACTCACGAAAATATATGCACTACAGAGCAGGAGCAAATAATAATTTATCTTGATTAAGTGATTTTGTCATTACTGGTATTAATTATCGAGATTAATCACAATTTCAGTTTTGATTCTATGTATTTTTATTTCTATACTGTATTCCTGCGTTCTAGTCCATACAAGACAATTACTGAACAAAAATTTATATTATGTAAATCACTGAATTCATGCCATTTCATAAGCTCACCATTAGTGGCATCTGCCTCATGCTCTGGTGTTGTCCCTATAAAACAACCATCATTCTATATTGATATGTATACAAATGAAATAATAAACACAAATAATAAATAAATCCCACCTTGGCTTGTTTGCACTGAAAACCAACTCTCCTCACTCTCTATCCCAGTGTCCTCAGACTTGCACTTGTAAAACCCTTCATGTTCTTGTGTCACATTTTCTATTGTCATCATTATAGTTTTATTGGAGTGTGATGCTTTGGACGTATACATTTTTGCTCTATTTTTATAGAAGCTGGTGTGACTGTGGTTGTCTGTTTGATACTGACAGTACAGGATGGCTCTGTGGCCCAGTGGCACTGGAGAGGAAGGAGTCCTCAAGATCAGAGGAGCATCTGCAAAATAAACGTACTGAGGTTTGCTTTCATAGCATGGTTTCATATATTTGTTTTACACATAAAAATACTTGATTAATCATTGCCCTATACACTTTCAGCACAGAAGTTGATAAAAAACTAGTAAAGGTATTTCAAGCAGTATTTGTGGTAATGGGGTCAGACTCAGAAGGCCCATCCATGACATTTTTTACAGAGTAAATTCAAGTTAAAACTTTGTATCAATTTCTAAAATACTCACAGCTAACAGTGATGTTGACTGCATTTGTCCGATCTCCTGCACTTTCACACCAATACAATCCACTGCTCCCACTCGCTGCTGAAAACATGCAACCATTTGACTCATCTGGCAAAATCATGCCCACTAGTGGAGAGCAGTGGTCAGTGCGGAGGTCAGAGCACCTCACCCCATTGTCCAGAGTGAAGTGCCACAGACTCCAGTTTGAAGAGTTAGTGGGAAATTTGGGGCAATGTAACATAAAGTGCTCTCCACTGAAGATGTATTGGCTGTCAGGAGTCATTGTCAGTGTAGGACCAGGTAAGTCTAGAGGAGAAACAGGAAAAAGAGACATTTGAAAGATTTTCTTATTTATTTTCTTGCTTGTACTTAGCTACAATTTTTGACATTTCCCTTACTTTTGTACCAAAGTAATTGTCAGGCAATTCGATTTTCACAAGTTATAGAGGGGGTAGTTGTGGTAGTAATGTCTCCACAGATTTTAATAATTTAAAACAAAGTATCCTAGGTGAAAAGTTCTCTCTAATAACACTTATATCACTTTGTCAATGCATATTACTTTGACAGCTAAAGAATGCTGATTAGTGATCATGGTAAATCACATGTGGCTGTGATCAATTTAATTTCATACTGCATCTTATTATTAGTGCCATATATGCCAAGGAAACTTTCAGATGACAGTATATAAAATATTTCTGAAGACCAGGTGTTCACAACATATCTGTTCAGTGTGCTCATGTTATTACTATTATTTCACCAAGTATAAGAAAGACCTACTACTAGAGGTAGGCAGATTATTGAAGTATTATAATATTCTTTATGAGGTTTTTTAGATATACTAAATTTGAATATCAAGTAGACTATATAAGTATTGTTATAGAAAAAGGCTGCAAAAAGATCTGATATAAAGGAAACAATGGATGTTGTAAACTTCCAAATAAAGGTATAAAGATATAAAGTAATTTTGTCATTCACCTCTCACTCTGAGATCCACTTTTCGGCTCTGTACCTCCACAGTCCTGTTTCCATCACAGAGCCGAGCCCGGCACCAGTACCTGCCCTGGTCCTGCCTGGAGACCCCTCTGATGGAGAGGCTCACCCCACACACCCAGATTCTGGGTCCAGAGACCAACGTGCTGAAGGGGGCATCTCTGAACCAGTGGTAGGCCCAGACTGAACTGGAGTTGGACTGGACAGAGCAGTGCAGTAACACAGTCTCCCCCTGGTGGAGGTTTGAACCAGGAGGCCACACAGAGACATGAACTGTTAAAGAGTCTAGAGCAAGAGACACAAGATTACTATATTTGGTGGCAATTATACATATAATTTTCTGTGGCTAGATGTAAACTTTATCAGTTTACTTTTGTCCCTGGTTCCCTGTTGTATTATCATTGCATTTGAAGTCAAAACAAAGTACAGCAGAAACTGTGAAGAATGAGAGTCATTTAGCAAATAACAAAAACTGTGATTTCAAATCAAGACGTTAAAAAACAGATTTGTATAGTTTTTCTAATGTATAAAATCTTGCAGCATTACATTAAGAAAGTTGCATACTGGTGTATATTGCAGTGGCAGTAGAAAGGCTTAGTGCAGATGGACATCTTAAAAACCACCAGCCAGTACTGCTGTTGCCATGAGTTTTGTGTAAAAGTTTTTATATCATATCTTTGTACCTGTATTTTCAGTCGAAGTAACTTGCTCCGTGCACAGAGCTGCACCTGTAACAGAAAATATTCAGCCCACACATCTGCCCTCCCTCCAGCGCTGGGTGACATTTTGGGTACAGTGTGTTTTCATGTCACTCAGGTGTAAAATGAGACCACCACAAGCACCACAGGCCACCGTTTCCTTTGGCCACTGTCACACTCATGGGCCACTGCTGATACGACCATTTACATAACCAACATCATGAACCAATTTAAAAGTGAAATTTGTACACCAACTATTCAGCTCGCGAACATGCTCTCCTCTGGTAACTCTAGCCTCAGAGACTGATTTTTGTTAATTAGTGTTACTCTCTCCTTTGGGAGCAAAAGGAATGTACACACACTATGGTCTGTTTGCTAGAGCTTTTAGCAAACTAAGATATCCTGTAGTAGCAGTTGTGTTTAGTTAATAGGAATCACAAAAACAGTAATATGATGCAAAATTGTAGTTTTAATATATTAATGTACAAAGAGTTTGAACTACAAATAAGACCACAACCTCATAAAGGCACTGGTTCGATCTCAAAATGTTTTGGCAGAGTAGTATAAGTCAGACTAGAGCACAGGTCTTATAAACAGTGTGTTTTTCAAAATGTGTGGATGTGGTTTGTTTCCTGGTGAAAATGTGCCAGTCGGTTGCTCCATCTGTTACTCACCCAGCAATGAAGAGAAAAGAACGAGGTGCATTCTAGCTCAAATACAGTACATATGATCCTGTCTCAATATTTACTATTTTATTTATGCGTTTAGAGCGTGTATACTCTCCCCTATAAGTTTGTGACTGAAATCCAGTGCATGCGGCAGGGCTTTATAAACCACAGGGGGAGATGGGGAGATTGGTGGGACATTTCCTTCCTGTTGTCCACTAAGAGAAAGTTGACAAAGTTGAGTTGATGCAATGTTTTTCAGCCCCTTGCTGTTCCTTGTGTCTAAAACTATTCTTTTTTATCTATTTTCAGCACAGCACCATCCTAGATTTGTCACATCCAATATTTGAAGACATGGATATTTATTTAAGGAACTGTTTGATGTGATCAACATTTGGATCTCAAGGTCAGTGCAATATTATTGTTTTTAATAGCACTGACATTTGTTTCTCACATTCATTCAAGTTATTGGAATTTGCTATATATGAACAATTATGGACTTTTGGCAGTATAGGTCTATTCAGGGACTCGAGGCTTGAAACTTCGAATCACTATGAAATTGCTAGTACATTTTGAAAGACTAAAAGTCCACCATTTAAGATTTCTACAGCTGCAATTGTGTATACTGAAGGTTTAAAAATATTGAATGGAATAAAAGGAAAGAGTTTAAACTTGTAAGTCTTGAGCCCTCCATCAACACATGACTATGTTTGTGATATTTGTTGTAGCCAGTGTGTAAGTGAAGTTGTTGCACCTGACCTTCACTGCACCAAATAGACCATTACAGACTTCAGAACATGATGTTTTCTTGCACACACTCTTGAGCTTCAGGTAACTGGTTCATTATGATGGAGGCTCCCCGCCCTCTGTTCCACGAGCCCGCCCAGCACCCCCCTTCACCCAGCTCCCTCTGCTCCTCATCCCGCTCCTCATCCTCACATCCACGGGGCTGGGTCAGGGAAGAGCGGAAGGCGGCGGTGGCGGGCTGCTCCGCTGGAATGCCTGCTGTCCATTTGTAGGAGAGCGAGTCCATCCCTCGTGTCCATTTGTAAGAGAGCGCGAGCGAGGGCCAGCGGGAGGAGGAGGGAGGAGGCGGGGTGGCGATCCGGAGAAACAGACATGGCTTCTAAAGAGACCACTGCCACTGGGTTCGTCAGCGTGAGCAAGGATATCACAGGTGGGTTAAGGCGCGCCTGGGGCATGTGCATCCTCTTTGGGGTTTTGTTTCTTGGCCGCGCGTTCAGACGGAAGGCTGCGACGAATTGGATGATTGTGAAGAAGAGCTACAACACCTTTCCATATTGTCCTGCGCTTCCCGGGACGCGTTTGCCGCTCAGCTGTGGGATGCGGATACATTATTTACCTCGGGATGTGCAGGGGACAGATGTGTGAAAATGCCCCTCAGGGATGATCCATTAATGAACCCGCGCCTTAGGCCACGGCGGAGTGTAGTGTGCCCCTGCGCTGTGTCCACCGCACGCCCCATCCACACACCGCGCTCCCCTCGTTAACCCTGGCCTTAAGTCTTTACTCTTTGTTTTCTTGCACCCCAGTCAGTCCAGCGCTATAGTGCATGTGCGCGCGTGTGTGTGAAAGTACATGGGGCGCTGAAAGAAGCAGATGCTCCCCCGATTTTTGCCAACGAAAATCGCGATTGGAAGCAGCGCGTCAAGGATGCACAATTGTTATTCTCATATCCTCCAAACAAGACTGTATGTTTATGAGAATGTTATATCTGAAGAAATGTAGTGCTCGCGCGTCCACACCTCTGTACACGTGCTTATGATACCGGGACTGAGCGTGTTAATTACCGCTAATGGCTCTATTAGGCTCTCTGTGATGATGAATCCAGTGAGATCTTTCCCTTTTCATTCAGTCACCTGGGAAGCGCTTGTGTCGAATACTCCATCTGGGCTCCTGGACCACATCTCTGCACTGACTATAGCAGGGGCCACGGGGCCACCTCACAAGGTCAATTGAATGAGACCCACTTTCTATTGACTCTGTGGTTGGGCCAAGTCTATTGTGTTACCTTGTGTTGTTTATGTATTATTCTCGGGCTGTTCAGAGCTCGCATTTCAATGTTGTTTTTAGATGCAAGTCATTCAGCCCTGTCTTGACATCCACGTGTCTAGCTAGTTTAAATGCAAAACTACACTTATTTCTGATTGGCCAAAACTTTGCTTCTTCAATGAGTCTGTCTTAGAATTCAAATGTGCTTTGGTGAAATACTTGAGGAACCATTTTTTATGCTGAAGCTCTCAAATGCACCGAGGCCATCTAATCAACCATTACACCATCGCAATTAGCCTGTTATTAATATGCTTGGTGCACTGACAAAATAAAGGATGTATTTAAAGGTATTCTTGACCTGATTATGCTATATTGACATAACTGTTGAAATTAAAAGTGAGAGCGGGGATAGATGTCAAGAGAAACTGGACTCAACATTGAAGCAGCTGCTACATTTATCCACCATGCACCAATCAACTTTTATTTTTAAATATTTCAGATGGTAAACGTTCCTCCATAAAATAATGTGCATAATTAACTAGTAGGGGTGTAACTATATCCAAGTCTCATAATATGATATTTATTGAGATATCGTGGGAAAGCTCATGATTAGGAATGTAATATCCAAATCTCTTGGTACGATGTTTTCACGATATTCATCTCACGGTATATTTATTGCGATATTTTGTGGAGGCTAAAAAAACTGTTAATACGCTACTTTTTCTTCTTAAAGTGCCTTGATGAGACTTAATCCAAAAAAATAAGACTTAAAAGTGCTTAGAACTGTTATTTCTTCTTGTAGTCTACACTGAAATGGAGCAAAGGATCATGGTCTATGTCTTTTTTTAGCTATTGCTGCACCATAACTCTTAATTTCAAGATTGTCCACGATATTATTGTGAGAACTTTGACAATACGATATCACGATATTTCGGTTATTGTTACATCCCTGTTAACCAGTTGTCATAGCGGTAATGTTGTATGTGACTTCTTAGCTTTCAGCATGTTCAGAATAGCCCTAAATCAGAAGGAGCAGCATTGATTATATTTAAAGTAATAGACCTACGAATGCACTCATACAGCAGCCAATTTCAGTGAACCAATTTCAATAGCACCCAAGTGTGTTTTGCTTTTTGTTATTTAAAAGATATAGCTTCCAGACAGACTGAAAAATGTCCGCTGTAATATACAACTGTGAAATCTCTGTATTGATTTGCTTGTAAACCCTTTAGTCGTGGTTTTAGTAAATGTTGCATCACCTGCCGACGGCTTGACAATACTGCATTTGTGTTAGAGTGGCTGCTTGGTTTGGCCTGGTCACACCAGTCAGTTTCCTCCTTTGACTATGGGGCCAGCAGGTTGTGGTGATGATAATGAGATTACAGCATCAGTGGTGGTGGTTTGAAGCCAGTTTGACAGGAACAGTTCTCAGTGAATCACAGAAAATCCAAAGCTCCAATGTGTCATGCTCAGAAGTCTCCCGTGAGAGAGATGTCACTAACACATATTGTGAAACATTTGGATGATACAAGCTGATAGAGCAGAGTGGTAATTGCACCGGAATGAACTCAAAGCAATAGGGAACGGGGAAAATAGTTCTGCTAAGACGTAACAAACAACTTTCTATTATTAATTTCCTCTCAAGACCGTTGCTTTATGTAACATTTAAAGGCAGTTTGACAGTGGCCTTGATGATGACATAGATGCAAAATATTTATGAAATGTATGTGGAACAAAGTTATCTAGTAAAAAAGAATCACTAACCAGACACATTTTCAGCCGCAAAAAGAAAAGTTATATGTGAAACTGGTTGCAATGGGTTGTTACTTCTCTTGGCTTAGTGACCTCTCTGGTGGACTCACTGTTGAAATTTTGAGTTAGATTCTCCCTGGTGTTGTTCCTGAGCCAAAAGATTAAATCAAAATTGCGATTAGAGTGAATGAATTATGAGTGAATGAGCAGCAATACTTCAGTTGGTAGTGCTTTTGTGGTTTTGTCCCCTGACCCCAAGGCCACAGTGCATAATTTAGTTCTGTCATTGGGCTAGATACTCTTCTCTCTGTACACTTGAGCAAGATTGTGTGTGCAAAGGGTTGAATGGCTCTTTGATGTAAAACTGTTTCAGTCTCCAAAGAAGGTAGAAAAGTGCCAAGGTAAGCCCTTAGGCCCACGGTTCAGTAGCTTGCTGATATCTATCATCTAAGATCTACACCTTTTGGACATAGTAAACTGGGTTTTCTGGATATTGGAGAAAATTACATTATTGAGATTTTCACTTTCCCATGGCTCATAGAAGAATCATTTTCTTACAAAATTTAACAAACAAATCTGATAGTTCACTTCTACTCTGTTGTAGTACATGATTTCAGAATACACTCAGGCATGTATCTGAGTGTATGAAATATCATCAGTGGGCTGTTTGAATGATGAGACAGGCTCCTCCTCGGTTATTAAAGTGGTTAGAGGTCTGTCCAGCCACTGCCAAAGGTCAAGACCGTTTACTGTCTGCTTTGATCGTGAGGAATTGATTTGTATGGTCATCTATTCAAGTCAAATGGACGCCTGGACTTTCAAAGCACTTCTCTCTATTCGGCAGTGATAGGTGACTTTGTGACGGTATAGAGTGCCTCAGTTACTTTTGCCATTTATTACCATCATCGAATTTGTAATTATAATTTGTGTCACTCTCTCAAATATTAAATCTGCTGGATGTGCACTGTGAATTGAATCTTTCCAAATTCTTTTTGTGATGACAGAGCAATAAACCAGTCTCTAGATAACATGAAGTGTCCCCATTTTAAGAGTTCACTTTACTTTATGCCCATCCAAAGCTGCATTAAAGAGATAGCTGTTCTATGTTAGGGCTTTTTGGATTGAATCTTTCCTCCATTCATCTAAACCAGTGTTTCTCTGTGGTTCACTGTGGTAGAGGTGCCCTCACCGTTAGTAGGCTGGATTTGTCAGGGTCTCCTGTAATTCAGTTAAATCCAATGTAGGTTTATGTCTGCTTCCAAGTGAGGACTTGTACTGTTTTTTTTGCACCTAGTGGTGTTATTACGTAAAATGTTTGATCTGAAGACATGCTGAAGAATTGGTA